TAATAATAATAATAATAATAATAATAATAATAATAATAATTTTGAACCAATTGAAGTATCCGGACCGTCTTCAAGGGTAGCCCCACGTAGAGCACGTTACAGAAGTCAAAGCGGCAGAGAGGGCCTTGCTCTGGGAACCCTCTTTGAAGGAAGTACAGAGGGTGTCTACCTGGAGAAGGGGCTTCTCTGCAGTGGCGCCCAGACTATAGAATGCGCTCCCCAGAGAGGTCTGCCTGGTGCCAATGTTATACTCCTTCCGGTACCAGATAACGACCTTTTTATTTAACCATCATTTTAATAATAAGGGTTTTAGATGTTTTAAGATTTTTTTCCTTCCCCACAGTCACATATTTTATACTTTTCCTCCCTTTTCTTTTTTTTCCCTTTTCTTTTAGTTTATGATGTGCCGTTTTATATTGTTTTCATAATTGTGGTTTTATTATTGTATTATTGCACTTTCATATTGTTTAAGCCATCCTGAGCACTTGTCGGAAGGATGGGATATAAATGATTGTAATATGGTAATTTATGGTAATTTATTATGGTAATTTATTATGTACTATTGTATTTCAATGTATTTTATCATGTTGTAAGCCGCCCCGAGGTTTTGGCAAGGGGCAGCATAGAAATGTTATAATAATAATAATATAAAATATAATAAAAATCATTTATTTATTTAAGTATATTGTACTTATGAGTATTCTATGGATTGCATCTATTATTTTTAATATTTGTAAAGTGCCTAGAGAGCCCACAGGCTATAGAGCAGTATCTAATTGTAATAAAGAAAGAAAGAAAAAAGGATTTCAGAAATATAATTTCTTCTTCAAGAGCCTCTAAAAAAAGCCCTTGATCCACTTAAAACATTTTAAAATGTGATTTCTGCCCATGATTTTGTATATTCAGGATTCTATTACTTTTTTTTAAGTTTCATAAACTTAAAATACAGGTTCATTCATTACTTTCAATGTGAAATCCATGCATACTAGTAATCCAGTGGCAATTATAGATAAGATTTTGGAGAATTGGCTTGAGAACAATTCTCTACCCATCTGATATTGTCTCAGAAAGAAATGTTGTCATGAAAAAAAATTTCATGTTGAAAAACTGATTCTATTGGCAAACTAAATGGGTGGTAATGTGCTATGGTCTCAATGGCGGCGAACTCATGTATAAATAATTTGGAGACAAAGTATGTTTTTATGAGGCAATTTCTTAGTCATCTGAAATTGAACGTGTATTGATCACAATGTTATTATTTGGAGATGATAAATATACATGTTACATTGTATCTAATGTCTGACTTCATTCCCATTCATTTCAATGGGTCTTCTTAAAGTAGGGTTGACAATTGGATACAATCCTTTGTGCACTTAGAGCCCATGGAAAAAAGGAAGTATATTTCTGCAACAAGTGCAATAAATATTTGAGAATTGCTTCTGTCTGTCTGTCTGTCTGTCTTTCTTTCTACAATGGACAGAGCCATGCAAGAATTAAAGGAAATGAAACAAGGCAATGCTTGTAAACAATGCAGAATTTCCATAATAATGTACTGGAGTAATTGTTAAGTAGAAATCTGTTATAACAAAAAATTGTCGATGTGTCAGACTCTGTGTCTAGTACTTTGAAATGTTTTCAGCCCAAACAAACAATGCATACATATTCCATAAGTCATGAAACATTGATCATATACCTCCCAAAGAAATGTAACTATTAGAACTTCATTAAAGACTTCAGAGGAAACTAAATTTCTTAAAGAATATCATTATTCCAATCTAAAATGTGTGTATGCTGTTATTGCTCTTTTTCAGCAAAACAAAGGAAGCATCTAAATTCAGTCTCATACATTACATAACATATAGTTAAAAAGCAAGCCTTTCTATGTTTAGATAGAAAAGAAGTCCTTCAAGTATGGTTAGCTGGGAAAAGCTGGGAGTTGCAGAATTTTCTCCTGTCTCAGTATGCACAGCATTCAGCCCTTAAGCAGAAATACAAAGTGCAGATTTCAACCAAATATTTACTATTTTGTGATCATCCTCTAAAAACCAAAGTATATAAATGAAGCCCATGGCAACACTGCATCATATTTGAATATGCATCTTCATATTCTTTGTACAATACCACAGTACACAGTTTAACCTTCTAAGACACTACAGCATGGAGCCCAGACACAATGAAGTAAAATACCTTGAAAATGTATGGGCAGGCGAACGCACATTTGTAGGAGCAGCAAAACTGAACCAAATTTCTTTGATTGTCAGTTTCATGCTACAGGAATCAGGTGGGGGAGGCCTTAAAGGATGCTCTTTTTTAAGGTCATCAGATTCAACCCCTTCATCCTATACAAAAGAATAAAGGGAAGAAAGGAAGGCACAAGGTAAGTCCATATGTTATGCTGCAAGAGTAGCCCATCTACTGAAAAATTAAGGGTGGAAGGAGTGCAGATTACCTCTGCTGCTCCTCTTGCACTGTACTGGATGATCAAAAGCCCCTGAATTCACCCTAAACAAACACCCTAAACCTTTAACAAAAGGTGCAAGAATTTATGGATTATATATTTTCCCAGAAGAGTGCTCACACTCTGGAAAAGCTAATTTAAAAGACAGAAAAAGGTAATTTAAAACTATCTTGTTAGTACCAGAAATTGCAGCTAAAAAGCTTCTCTTTAGAACATTACAAAAATTGTCATACCTGCTCATCTGAAACTGAATTTGGATGAGTATCCGAAGCAGCACTTATTTGATCACATGGGAGATTTTCCTCAGATACATCAGTATTATAACCACTACCAGTTGGAGAATCTGAAGAATTGTTGGATGCAAGTAACCCACCCCTATCTGTGGTGGTAGATTTACCAATGTTCCCAAATGCGTTGTATAAAACTGCACCTGATTGTCTACCACCTGCAAGTACAAGAAAGCAGAGATAAATTTGCTTAGTTTACTGTGCAAGTTCAAAAAGAAAATGCTGAATGGACTTGTTAGTTACCTTTTATTGTCAGATTTTCTATTCCACATTCAAACATTATCCAGCCCCATTTTTCTTGACTGGGACCTATCCGTGTTACATCTGGAACTACCTGATGGTCAGCTTCATCTACAAAAGTAAAGTCATCCAACTCTTCCAAAGTAAAAAGTACTTTTGATTTTTCAAAAGGAATGGCTGTTATTGCACTGGTCCCAATATCTGCAAGGAAAAAAATATTGCAAGGAAAAAGGCTGCAATTTTTAGGTTTTTGGAAGGAAGGCAGGTAGGCAGGCAGGCAGGCAGGCTAAACTTCTTTCTAATAATTAAGATTTGTTGCAATAGGTAGATTAGGCAGGAAATACTAAATCAGGCACCCAGGATTTCAAATTGCTGTTATCAACTGTAGCATTATTTACAGTTAAGGGGCACAGATCCCATTATCTGGGTCTAATTTCAAGCCAGTTTCATACAACCTGATTTTATTAGTCCTCATTCCTTGCATGATAACTTTCATATTTACAAGCAAATAGATCTACACATACAGTCTCACTATCTTCCATCCATCTTTCCCTTTTCCACCACTAAAAATTTCAGCAGTTTAGGTCTTTATGCAGATTAAATAAACCTAGGAACCCAGCCCCTCTTCCTGAATTGTAAAAAAGAATTAGAAAGGACAGCCCTGTAGGATGCTATTATGGGGTGATTGCAAGCTGTCCAGAATCATAAAACATCCCATGAGTTCTGCATGATTTATCAACTACCCTTGCCAGGTTTGCAAGCTACTTCATACTCAAATATTACTAAAGGCAGCCTCACCTCTTCAACAAATAGGTAGCAGAAAATGCTGGAAAATTAACTCATTGTGGCTTCTTGTTATGCAAAAACTAGGTCTCAGTCTCATGACAGTGAGAAATTATGATGAGATTTTCTTCAGAAAAATGTTGAACACACTTTCACATCAGAAATCATTAGATTATTAAAATCAGCCCAGGCACCTTTCTCTTTTGAGTTCTTAACATACTAGATAATCTAGTGCTAATAAAGGTTTGTAGTGAAGCTTTCAAGCTGGAATAACAAGCAAGCTTACCTGTTGTATCAAGGCCTCTGAGCTGCCCATGAATACGGTGAATATTAAGCTTAGCTGCAATTTCTTTTCCTTTCTCTGCTCCAGCATTTGATCGCAAGGAGCCAGAAGACTGGGGCTGCATTTTATTGCTGTGGACATACTTGTCAAAAGTTACAGAACTTCTTCTAGTCTCTGAACTGTTTGGATTCTCTTCAACCACACCCCTTTCAAACAAAGAGGAGACATGAAGCAAAATATAATTATTCTGTCAGCCACTAAAAAAAATCAGCATAATTTTGCTCACTAAATAAAAGTAAACAAGCAAAAGAAAATTTCAGTGTTCAAGCAAGGGAAGCAGGCAGTTATCCTTAATGTGCACAACTCAAGGAAATTGTTAGCATAACATGTATTGTACACATCAGAAATTGGTCTCATATCATCCAGAATGAACGCCTGATGTAGAGAGAGGTCCCATCCCCGGCACAATACAGTCTGCTCAGATGGATCTGTCCAATTCTGAGGAGGAGGTAGAGGAACAGTGTGGGGGCAGAGGACTTGGCTGTTTCAAGGTTACCTAGTGAAATTTATCAGGCAGAGTATAAGAACCAGCCCGCCTTGGAAAAGAGGAAGACCTTTCAGGGCTGGAATGGGAGGATATACAGGGAGAGCTCCTTGACCCAGTCAAGAGATGACAGATGAAGCAAGCAACTCACAAGCAGTGGGGTCCACCTTGAAGGTGGATTCAGAAGATTTACTGAAAAGGAGGGAAGGAGAGGGAGTTTCCATTTAGATCCAATAAACAGGTGCCTCTCCTACATCACAAGGGGAGTATTACTCTGATTTATACAGTTACAAATTTAATAAAAAGAGCTGTGCTTCCAAGGCTTGTTTGGGTCTGCTGGAGATGGAAAGAGGGAAGTGACCTGCTCACAACACCTTTGAGGTAATATCATGTCAGGCATTGGGGCAAAATGGCAAAGCCTTTCATATATATCAGTAAATTTTCCCCTTTAAAAACACAGAATCCTTTGAATCTATTATTTTCTTCTACCATCTCAGTATAAGCCTTAATTCCTTAATCAGAAAGTTCATATTAAAAATGGCATCATGAGATTTCTGCTAAGTTCTGCTGTTAAATACAAAGTAAAACTATGAGTATTCAAAAGATACTGCCTTACCTGTTCATACGAACCTGTGTAGCAATCCTATCAAAGCACAAAGCTACTAAAGAAACATGAGTTACACTTTTGCCTGTGGATGTGCCTGCTGACTCTTCTACTGAGGCTTGTAGTAAACACAGATTTACCTAGGAAAAGTGATCCCAAAGAATAATGAAAACCTTTACAGTGTTCTTTAACAAAGATTTCTATCCCATTACAAAGAATACCTAAATGTAACAATCAGCTGAATGTCATTTCCCTTAAACACTGCCACTCTAGCAACGCTAACTTTATAGAATGTGCCACTGAAGCATGACTGAAATGATTACCGAAAAAGGATAAAATCCTAAATATTGGTGTTATCATAAGCCATAGCTTGCCATATAAAAAGACTATTATGCCTAGTTAAGGCTATCCAAATATTTAGCTTAAATTTCCCAGAAGAACTAATGCTGTGGATCATGGGAACTGTAGGCAAAAGCACATAGAAGGCCATGAGCAGGCTACCCATGCCATAACCAGTTAGATTCTGGTCATTTTAAACACAGTTTATGCCTTGGTCTAATTCTTGCTATCCCACTCCACCCCATTTCATGATGTATGCACAAGAAAGATATAAAGTTAAGTTACTACATGAAATTTTCAATATTTTGAGATAATTCAGTTGGTTTATTACCTTTGGTAATGTAACATTGGCTTGAAGACCTTTAATAGTCACATTATCTTGCTTGAGAGAAAGATGTGTCTGTGTTTTTGCTTGAGTTGTTCCTGTAGCAGGAGTCTCTATTTTTGTTCCTCTAACATCTTGCTTGGAAGATAGCTAAAGCGAGACAGAAAGAACAGTGTTTGTTAATTTAAAAGGTGTATCTAAATATTATATACTTTATTCAAAAATGCTTTTCTTCCCAGTGCAGCAGACACCTACCACTTAAAAGAGGAAGAGAGCACACATTACCATGGCTATTTCCATTCCACACTATCCCCTTAAGCAAAACATTCTCCCTTCCCCTTCAATTTAAGATTTTCTGAGAAGTTAGTTTTGTTGAAGAATTTGTACAAACTGAAAAATGTGGGGAGGCATACTTTGAAATCACGTGTAGATAAGACTTTGATACTTATTAGAACTTAAATTACGTAATACACATACATTTTCTGAAAAAGTTGTTTTTCTGTTCTGTACAGCTTGTCTGAGGACCTTACAATGTAGATCATCCACAATAGCTGCTGGGTGGCATGTACTAGCACAGTGAACCATTGCCTCTATGTACCTGTAGGGAAAATCCGTTTAAATATTTTAATTGTCATAGCTATAAAACCTACAACAAGTGTAGAAGATATGAGACAAGCAACATGTTGCCTATTTGTTTTTTTAAAATACTTTTCCTACAAAATAAATGGTGTGCAAAAATGGAAGAATGAATTATTTAAGTACATTTGATCTAAACTTTTTCCTTGAACAGTTCTTTCTCTCTTTAATTTTGATGTAAGTTACATCACTTTCTGTTAAGGCATCAAGGCAGTTTACAATTTTAATATAATGAAACAAAACCTATAAATTTTACCATTTAATTTACCATTACTGATCACAGAAATTTTATAATGAAAACTGATCAAATTTTCACAACTTAAAATCTCCTCATAAACACTTAACAGAGAGAGGCCTCACACTTTGTTGATACAGGGACAAAGAGAGCTATGCCACCCAATATTGCACTGACCTGATGTCTGGGTCCCTTCCTGCAGCAAGCTTCAAAATTAATGCCATTTACCTTCCCCCTATTTTGTATTGTTCCTAAGGCCTTGAACAGCATAGCTGTACCTTCCTAAGTTAGTGCAGAATTGTGGTATCTTTGGCAATTTGGTGCACCAGTACAACATCTTAAAATGAACTGCCACATTGGAATAACTCACACACTTCATCTTATCAGTAGGCTTGTGTGTATAGACTATTAGAGCCATATTTCTCACCAAAGTATGAAATACCTGTCTAAAGCTTCTGCTACAAGAGGTGTGAGAACTATATCCACAGTTCCTTTTATTTCCACAATAGCTGTTGTTCTGGTTTGGGAAACTGGATGATCTAAGGTCCATTCTTCTGTTATTGTTTCATCATCTGTATTATCAAGGATTTTCTTCTCCAAGGGAGTATAAGGGGTACTAAACAAAGAGAATAAATCATTAATTTTTAACAAAGACATATGATTATTCTACACGGTTACTTAGCACAGTGCAATTTATTAGCAGGGTTTACATGGGTAAACATGTTTTCAGAACACAACTATCTTGCACTGCTAAGATGCAAGACTGGAAGATGTTCACACAAAGTCAATTCAGTCACACAAATCAGGAATTCTCAGTTTAAAGGTTGCAACATTGCATCTTTCCATTGTTGGGTGCTTTCTTAAGTTACCAGCCTCAAACTAGTATTTTTCTATCTGCTGTTTTCCTAATTTAATTGTTTATAAACAGATAAATTTATCTCACCAATGCAGAACATCAAAGACAGAGCTACTTTTATGAGAGAACAAATACTTTCAACTGGTATGAAAATCAGAGACCGCTAGGGCAATATCCACTGGGCACATGCACTTCTTTTGCCAGCCTCATCTCAGTGCGACTAATGAAGTGTACTGTAAAGTATTAGACTGGCATTGCTAGGGGAAAAGATAACACTGCTTAGATAATAGGAAAAATGCAGATATTATGCTTTAAAAATACTGAACAGCAATTTCAACACTGATAACATTGAATCCTTGGGCTGCAGCATGCTAATAATAAGCATTATGTGACTGCATGCATTATGGGAATTAAGCTGTAAGTGAATAGTAAATGCCTGATGTTCAACAGCTCCAGCACTTCTGTTTTGTTTTGTTTTAGGGATAGTTTGCCTTGATTCATCATCATGAACAACAGAGGACAAGAAACTCTTACTCATGAAAAATGTATGAACACTGGCATGTAAGACAATTCCATTCACACAATCTGGCACATCTTCTGATCAGTTCCTAACAGGTGATAAAATGATCCACTGTCTTTTCTGTAATACCTAGAAAAGCCATTTGAGACAATTTGCTACTTGTTACTCACTTAGATGTTGATCCTGTGAGCTGCATACCGCGGTCCAGTAAAGTATTAGCTGTGAGACCCTGTTTAACAATCTAGAACATATAAAGACTTGTTACTATTGTACAAAAGCTTTTACCATCCATAAATCCTGTAATTTACAGGTGTTTAAAAGGGAAGTTTTTATCTAGAGTCTTTCCTGCTTCTATGGACAATGCTGCATCTGTACAATTGATGGTACAAAAGGATTCTTTTTTGCACTGAAGTGACATAAACTGTGCTAAATTAAAAAGCATAATCCCTAACTTCTCCAAGTAACAAAATAACAAAACAAATAATGAAAGCATGTTGCCTAAGCCCAAAATTACAAATATTGCACCCTAAAACTGTGTCATGACATTACAACAAAAACACAGTTTTAACAAATAACAAATTCTGCCACTTGAACCCTGAAGCAAAAAAATGCACAAATCATTCATTCATTAAAAGCAAAGAATACTTTCAAAGGGGGTACAATAACTACTGCAGTGCTTGTTTACTAATACTGCATTGAAACAAAATATATTTATGACTGTGCTCAATGAAAGTAAATTATTCTTGGTAAAGCTAGTATTACATAATTATATAGAATACAGAGAGTTAATAATTGAAAAATATTCCTATGTCTAATTATTTCCAATTTCTGTTTGACAGCTTTAACATTAGCAGATTTAACAGGTTGTAAAGAACAACTTTACTAAAAAAAATCTGTAATTTGTCATTTCAAAGTTCACCATAAGAAAGAACAATATCAGTACCTTTATTCACTGATATTATACACTCTCCTTATATTTTTCCACTAAGTAATTGCTATCTCTTTAAACTTCAGTCAACTACTTTGTACCTTAAAAGTTGGAACAGAAAGTTGTTCAAAAGTTGAGGAACTTTCCTCACTAGTTGGAGTTTCAAGATCTAATGGCCGATGTAAGGATGATTTAGAAGTTCTTTTGTTTGTTGGATGTTTTACTGACCAATTAACCACCTGGTATTGGGTGAGGTAGCTTTGGTAGCAGTTCATTTCAGGCTGCTGGGAAATGATTTGTTCATTTTCTGGAGGCTTCTCAGTTTCTATGATATATAAATGTTCTACAAGTTCATCTTCTCCACCCAAAGCAGAAACAAATGACGCTTGTGAGGGATGTGTTTTTATTGGTAAAATTTTTGAATCATGACTAGCTTCTCCATGCAATGTAGAAGTCAGAGGTCCTTCTATACTGTGATAAATCGAGCCTTTCCCATAATCAATTTGCTTGGTTTGCTTTCTTTTCTTTTTTCTCCCAGGATAAGTTCCTGGACCTTCATCACTGCTTATAGGCTCAAAGTCCTCAGCTGCTGAAAAATAGGCTTCACTATCAGCCATTGACATGCTTGAGTCCATGGAACGATATTGATGAAATGAATTTGAATCTGCAGAAGGGGTATATGGGAAGGAACCAAAGCTTCTCCTTTGCTTTGGAGAGTCTAAGACATTTTCATCACTGCGAGAAACATCACTGCTGAACTGCACACCAGCTTGAACAGGTTGCTTGTCTCCATAAAAAGCTGCTGTAAGACTTTTGGTGCTCCCAAGTCGAGTAGAACATACTGATGCCTGTCGTTTCAAAGGAGATCTAAGAGGGGACTGTCCAACAGGTTTCTCTTGGGAGTTAGGAGATACAGGACTACTTCCTGAAGCATCTGCTGCAGTACTAAGCATGGGGGAGAGAATAAAATTGCTCATAATAATGCAAATTTGCACAGAATTTTATAAAGACTAAATGCAGGACTGCAACCAAAATAGGGACTTTTACTGACTTCTTTAAAATGCACTGAAAACACAAAAGTCACAATCCCACAAACAGGTGTAACTGCTATAGACCAAATTATTTTAATAGAGCTTCTGTATATATAATAGTGTGTGAGGTGGTAACTACTGTATTTATCCTTGGGAGTACTAGCATTATCTTCGTTGGTATCCAGAGAAACAGGGAGAGTAATATGATGCCCTTCACACAATCAATAGTCTTTAGCTTCCCATCAGCCCCAACCAGCATGGCTAATGGTCAGGAATTCTGGGAGTTGTAGTCCACCAACATACAGAAGAGATTTCCCATTAATATATCTACAGTATAGCTAGGCTTTATCTCCTTACTCTGCCTCCTGACCTCAAGTGCCACACAGCCAACCAGCAGCAAATCTAGATAATATTGTGCTCTCACACAAGTTTTTATTTTCTAAATAAAGAGCATTCACTGTTGTGGCCCCCACAGCTGCAGACTGAATTTCCCAAAGAAATTTACCTTGCACCTATGATATGCTTTTACTAGCATCAGAGAAAGACCTTCCTATTTCCCCAGGCATTTTAGTTTTTCAGTTTCTGCTACTGTAGTATAATCTTTGCAGTGCTGCTAGGTTTTACTTTGGTTTTTACTTCTACTTTATTCTGCAGTTAAAATTTTTTATAGGGTATCTTTGTTGTTATGTGCTACCAGGTCATCTCTGCCTTATGGAAACTCTATGAATGAAAGCTCTCCAAATTGTCCTATTGATTCCAGACTGTGGCTTCTTTTATGTGGTCACTCCAGCTCACATTTGTTCTTCTTTTTCTTCTTCTGCCTGCCACGTTCCCTAGCAATAATGTGCCTTACCTTATGTTTTATTTTAGGGTTTTAATTGTTGTGGATTTCTCAGAAAGCTTTAGCTAGTGGAAAGTACAGAAATGTACTATTACTATTATGTTACATTTATATCCCAACTTTTTTTTCTTGCAAGGAACTCAATGTGGTTTACATAGTCCACTTCCACTCCTTTTTATCCTCACAGCAACAATCCTGGTTGAGAGCCAGTGTGGCATGGCAGTTAAGAGTGTTGGACTGGAGGCATAGAAGATCCGGGTTCATGAAGCTCACAAAGAAAAAAAAAGATGAAATATAAATTGAAAATAATGATAATAAGATGATGAAGTAGTTAACCTGAGAGTCTGTGACAGGCCCAAAGACACCCAAGCGAACTTCATGGTCAAGCAGGGACTAGAATCCAGATCTCCCAAGCCCCCAGTCCAAACTCTAACCACCGTAACACAGTAATTAATGTATCCAAATTCTTTGTTGGAAAAAAATGTTTAAAGCAGCATGCTCACCTTCCATGAGACTCTTCTCTTTTTGAACTAGCCAAGAACTCCTTTTGCCCCAAGTGGTCTTCAACAGCAGAAGAAGGGCTGTCCCTCTCACCAGCAAGTAAGGGAAGTGCTGCACTAGAACTACTATTTTCCTCCGAAGAGGAAGAAGAACTATGAGATCGCAGTGGTACTTGTAAGTTCAGGTGCTGAGATTTCCTTTCTATTTCCATTCCTACAGATCGGCACTCCCATTCTTTTCTTTTAACACCATTTACCTTACCTAAGAACAAAGCAGGTAAATATTTTATTCCACAGGGTGGAATAAGGGTGGCAGTACTTTTCCTTTCTCCTTGATACAGAAGATTTTCAAGTAGAAGAATAAGTATATGCAATATTATTTTATACATAGCTCTTGCAAATTTACAAAAAAGACAGAGTAACTAGAAATTGTAATGAGCAACCAGTGAACCAGCCTGGTATCCAGTCTGAAATATTTTTGTACGATACACTGCTTTACTGCCTTCTAGAATTGTAATACCACTCTAATGGCAGAAAGTGAAGAGGAACTAAAGAGCCTCTTGAGGCGGGTGAAGGAGGAGAGCGCAAAAGTTGGCTTGAACCTCAACATTAAGAAAACTAAGATCATGGCATCTGGTCCTCTCACTTCCTGGAAAGTAGATGGGGACTGGAGCCAAGAAATTAAAAGACGCTTGCTCCTGGGGAGGAAAGCTATGGCAAATCTAGACAGCATACTAAAAAGCAGAGACATCACCCTGCCAACAAAAGTGCGTATACTCAAGGCTATGGTTTTTCCAGTTGCAATGTATGGCTGTGAAAGTTGGACCATAAGAAAGGCTGAGTGCCAAAGAATTGAGCCCTTTGAATTGTGGTGCTAGAGGAGACTCCTGTGAGTCCCTTGGACTGCAAGGCGATCAAACCCGTCAGTCCTAGAGGATATCAACCCTGACTGCTCTTTAGAAGGCCAGATACTGAAGATGAAACTCAAATACTTTGGCCACCTAATGAGAAGGAAGGACTCCCTGGAGAAGAGCCTAATGTTGGGAACAATAGATGGCAAAAGAAGAAGGGGATGGCAGAGAATGAGGAGGCTAGATGGTGTCACTGAAGCAGTTGGTGTGAGCTTAAGTGGACTCCGGGGATGGTGGAGGACAGGAAGGCCTGGAGGAATGTTGTTCATGGGGTTGCGATGGGTCGGACACGATTTCACAACTAACAACAACAACAAATAGCAATTTAACTGCATATATGCATATCTTAGTAATATTGCTTCAATACAGTTCAGTATCACTTTTTGACAATAAACTACAATAATATGATTATTATATCACTAGTTAGCTAGTGTTATGTGGCAGATTATTACTATACTAAAGATACTCCAAAATGCTGATATTTGTTTAATAATAAATACTTGCGAACAAACACAGGCACAACACACACATCCACACACATATTACCATCTATAATTTTTGGAAGCTCTTTGGTAATGATCCATTCTCCAGGCTGTAGTAAAGATTGTCCATAAAACATATCAGATTCTGCACTTGTACTTGAAAAAGCAGAGCTACTTGAAGGGGTCAAGTCTTCAAGCTTGAAGAAGTCTAATCCTGACACTGTGCCACCAAAAAACTTACAGCCACCTAGGCAGCCACACTTGTTCTTGCTTCTCTTATTCTTTGTATTATCATCTGGCCATAAAAACCATAATCTATAGAAGAAAAAATAACAGATTCAATGAAACAAGGTTCCACCCAATTGCTACCAATTATTTTACTTTTGCAAGGAGTATTTAGCCAAACAGACCACAAATACATTTATCTGCGCAGATTGACAACCAGGTGGGGCTTTAAAAGTAAGCAGATGCTTGAGGAAACCAAATTTCACTACAAATAGTCAGGCAACTGTCTCCAACTTAAAAGAGCATATATGAAGTGCACTGTTTCCTTCCTTCTATTTAAACATAGTAGACTTCATCCAATATTACACAAGTGTCGTAACATGATTTTCCACTCCATCCTCCCTACTCCAGCCCTTTGTCCCACAAAAGAATCTTCTTAGAGTCAAGATATACTCAAAAAATGAACTAGATGTGATAAGAAGGTGACAGTGAGAAACAAATATTTCACAAATTGAGTTATGTCACCTTGTGTATGTGAGAAAATGCTCATGAAAAATGCCTGCACAGAATTCTGAGTGATCTCCCCTTCCCAGTGTTGAAGATTCCCTGATGTTAAGGAGAGGCTTTCAAGGGGGCACGGGGTATTACACTGGGAAGAAGGAGAACATAAAATATATACAGTAGCCTGGAACCACTGAAATCAGTGGGACAAATCAGTTTCATTGATTTTAATTGTTTTACATGAGAATTCAACTCAGGGATTACCATGATTTTGTATTTAAGAGAACATCAATTACTAAATGAAAATTTAGAGTAGAATGACAAATTTTTGCCTTAGCTGATTTTGTTAACAACAAATGATTTTTAAGAATTCAAAACAGCATGTTAGCCTGTACTTCATACCAGTCTTTTTCACCTGTTGCCCACCAGAAGTTTTTGACAACAACTCCAACTTTCTCTAATTATCGGCTATGCTGGCTGGGACTGATGGCAGTTGAAGCATAAAATATCTGGTGGGGATACCTTTTTTTATAGATAAAATCTTGACATTCTTTTGCATTTTTCAACAATTCATTAAAGATGTTAACATTCACTGTTTTCATACTTGAGACAACTTTCACTTGTAATTTCCCTTACCTCTTAGTTCTGCTATCATGAGTCTCCAAAAAATGTCTCTGAGCTTCATGCTTAGAATGATGATCTGCTGCTAAAGCAACATCAGCAGTGATAAGGCCCAAATTGATTGATCCCGCTTCCAGCCAATACGCCCTCCGCAGCACTGCAGGTTGAAGACCAACTCGACAATTGTTCACTTGTTCAAAATACTGCCGTAGCTGGAAATCTTGAACAGCAGCACTTATACCCTCACCAACTGACTGATTGTGGAGATTACAATTGGCAATGCGCACAGCACCCATCTAAAAGTGAAATTGGATAAAAAAAGATCAACAGAGAGCAGCAAAGGACCTGATTGTTCAACAGATGCAGTACGAGGGAGGGAGAGAGAGTGAGCATAATCTCAGTAGAAACAACAGATCACTCTGGAAATCCTGTCTTCATAAATGAATAGGAGGAATCATACTTCATTGGATGTTTTGCTCCTTGGAATAAGAAAGATCTGAGACGGGGTCAATCTGCATATGCTGGAGGAATTCTGGGAAGTGAAAGAAGGTGGCACAGAGTGGCACAGTGATACTTCAAATGTGCTGTGCACCTAATGGCACACAAAAATTAATATATCTACATTGTCCTCCTTCATATTGTAGAGCACACAATAAATCAAAAGGATTGTCAAAAGACAAACACCGTATATATGTGCAATAAATGTAAACTAGTTGATTACAAGAAAAAGTGAGAATGCTTGAGTAGTGTGTCTCCACCATCCAAGGGCTAAGAAAAAGTAAAGTGTTCTTGAACAGAATGGTGGAACTGCAAGAACAACAAGAACCACCAGAGATGGAAGAACAAGAGCAGCTTGAACCAGAGATGGAGAATGCTGAGTTGAGGAAAGCCAATGAAGATGAAATTCCCTTAAGCTAGAATTAGAGATGGAACGGAAAGATTGTCAAAGCTCATAAGACCCACAATACCTATTTCTTTCTTCTAAAACACGTGGGCAAAAATTATACTGGCAAATGGAACTTTGGAAAGCTCTGGGAAGGATACTCAAGAACTTTGGGGCTCAGATAGCCTTCTCATCCATTCTCCTAGTTCTTGGAGGAGAAATAGAAAGGGAAAGAAAAATACTCCAGATGAACAACTGGCTATGAAGGTGGTGCTGACATGAGACATTCTGAATTCTGGGATTCACAGACTACACTATTTGGTTAATGGATTGCTGGAGAGGGATGGGTTGTTTCCACCAGGGCTGGAAAGAATATGTTTGGTCACAGCATGAAAAACTTCAGGAGGCCTTAAAATTGAGTCCTACCAGGGAGGAAGACATGGACTTGGAGGCAACTGTGGATGGACCTACAGAACAGCCAATATAACAGAACTATCTTTTTTCATGCACTTTTTACAAAAAGTATATGTTAACAGAAAACAGTGAAATTATTTTAGAATTATTACAAAAATTATATGAGAGAGGAAAAGTATTCCTACCTTTATATTTGTGGCACAACCATGTTCTACAATATATACATCTGCCCCATCTACTGCCACGCGTGTCATAGTGTACTTTAATTCATCAGATGTTGGACAAGGGCCAGAAATACAGCTTATCTAACAAAGTTTTGAAATAGAAAACATTATCACATGCTGCTATCTTTGGTATGAGTTAATCCTACTTTCTTCAAATTACAGTATATGGGAGTAGAATTTCTGCCTTCTAATATGCATTACTAGAGTCCTTTATTTTATTTTATTATTTTATTTTCTGGGGAATATCATAACTGTAATCATTTTCTCTTTTCCATATCACCGTATCACCATTCTGAATTCTGAAACTGTGCTTCTAGCTTCCATGTAAAACCCACACACATGCCAATCAAGAAAATGAAGGCATAGATGTAAAGAATGTATTTTTCCAGAACCTTCCACTACCCTAGCTTTTATTAATACCTCTTCCATAGAAAAGTGATGAAGAACCAGAAATGATCAGATCAAGACAAAAAGCTACTATATAACAAGCCAGTGAATAAAATGTTATTATCTTGGATAGCCTCCCAGTTTTTATCCTAGGCTCAGGTCTACATACCCTCTAACAAGCCTGATTTTCCCAAGACTGCCACAATTTGATTACCCCGTCATCCTCTAATTGTTCAATTTTTCAGCAAAGTTCATTCCTATCCTGTATGGTGCCTCAGCCTTATTTACGTAGCTCAACTGGGGAAAAGTCTTGGCCAGATTTGTAAATCTGCCACAGCTTGTAAGGCACAGTTGATGAAATCACAGATGATTAACATAATTACACAGCTCTCCCTTCAGCATGGAGATCCTCGCTAGCATTTCCTTTCATGCAAAACCCAGGCAATTTTGACTTAATGTTGGTTAACAAACCAGGTCAAGAAGATAGGATTTGATCCTAGATTTATTCTGGTTTGTTAAGTAACATAAAACCAGAATTTCTCATTTTCTATATAACAAAGAACATTGGCTCAATGTAAGCTAAGAGATCACACTGAAGCTGGCATATTATGAGAGGAGTGATGGGCAAATGGGGTGCAGGTGGGGGATACATGTATATATGAGATTCTTCATAATTTCATAAGCCATATTTTAAGAAGTGGTAGACAAAACATTCAAATACAGGCTTCAACTTAATAACTGAGTCTGCACAATCAACATAGCCCACTACTCAAGTCACAGTGGGTGGCAGCTCATACCAATGCATACTGGGTGATTTATCTATTCAAGCTACAACTGTGGCTGTCCAAACCTGGCAAGGGTGGTTCACTGGCATGGTCAACAAACCACCTAGAACCTTTGAACTGTTTTAGAGATGTAGGTGCATTTACTGGGTTCAAATGACAAAACAAACTGCAATTGTGACTTGAATATTCAAAATGGCCATTTGTCTATGCAGTAGTCCATCATGGCTTCATTAAGCCACTGCAGACTACTTGATCATGTGAACTGGCTATTATGAAAAGTAGTTGTCCAGAGTGCAAACACAGAATCCTGCCCTGTCATATACTCAAGCTTGAGTGGGAAATTCTTTTGGCTCTGCGTGTGTGCGAACACCAGATTGTTACCTTAGCTTCACAGAAGCGTCGATCAATTCCATGCTGACATATAATTACAGATTTTGGCCTCTCTAGTTCAAACTCACGACATACTACATGAAACACAAATGTTTGTCCCCACTCAAGCAGGCATGCAAGCTGTAAACAGATAAGAATATTTTTTACAAGACAGAAACTATTAGATTAACCTTGACATTTTGAATTATTTGAAAAAGATTTCTCAAATTGAACACTCATGGTTTTCAGTTCCTTCAACTGATTTTACCAAATGATTCCAAGCCTTGCACATTATATTCATCACTACCTTGGTGCACCTACTTAGCCAACAAAGGAGTGAGAAAAGGCCTTTTAGAAGTTAGGAGGAAATGGTGTAAACTCCTCTCTGAATTGCAGATATCCAAAGGAAGCTTCTGAATAAAAGCAATCAGAGGTCTGTCAATATTTATTTCAACTATCCGTAAACACATCCTTAATTATAACAATGATAAAAAGGGGAAGAGGAATGCCAAAAGAAAGTTACCTAAAGAACTGTTACTTCACTAATATCATTTCTTTAAACAAAACATACAAAATAAATGTTAAAATACATAAAAGCACAAGTGGAAATAATAGATTAATTTAGTTCAGTTCTATAAGACTTTAGGTTTGTTTTTTAATTCCTTCAAAGAAGAATTGATAACTGCCCACTTTTTATATTCACACTAAAGAGGCACACAAGTCAAAACAGAAAGTATCAGAAGTGCAACATTATTATCACTTGAACAGAAAATGCAGTTTGCTGTGAAAAACTTAAAAGGTGGAAAACCAACAATGTACTAGTTCAAATGCGAGTCCAAGCATGTACCAGAACCTGCTTTGGTTGCAAGTGACACCCTCGATTTTTAAAGTATTTCAACTGGAAAGACCTAAGAGCTTCTCACTCTAGTTCCCTGCAATGTATTCATTCATAATATGCTTTTTATCTCTAGACAGTGTGAAACAGCACTCTGTTATGAAATCTTACTTGAGTAAGTACATTATTGTGAATAATTATGTTGTTCTCTTTGGAAATATATTTCATAGAAACTGGAGTGCTAAACACAGTAGTTTCTTATGCAACATTAACTACTTCAGAAAAAATATTAATACCTATATAGTTTAAATTCATTAAATAATGATTAGGAAAAAACCTAGAATGCAGTGGGCATGCAACTTTTCTACAAGCCCCTGTATTGAGGTCCATAATAAATAAGTAGTCTCCTATGGAGGCAAATCCGAACCTGAACAAATGAGAGCCACATGCACACATTGCAAAAAGAAAAAGAAGGAAGGAAGGAAGGAAGGAAGGAAGGAAGGAAGGAAGGAAAAAAAGTAAATGAAAACCCAGCAATGCTTTATCCATCTGCCTTAAATTTCACTAATTCAGTTAGAATGACATAGATTTATTTTCTTAAAAATATTGTGCAGTCTTTTACCAACACAATAAAAGTAAACTATAAAGCAACTGAAGAAAAACATGGCTGAATATTATTTGATTTTTTTTCTATTGATCCACAGCTTCTAAAAGGTTATCCTACAAAAACATGTCTACTATTATGAGGTTCACAGTTGTGAACCAATGTTCATGAGATGATGCACTGATTTCTTTTTCAGATGTTTCTACCTAGATTACGAATTTGGGATTTCCCTCTAATATCGGATTTCTCAAGACTCAACTAGGAGTCTAAGGCAGTGTGTTTTACTCATACTCACCTCACCCTGCCACTAGTTTCTACCATACTAAAGATGTATGAAAGAAAATAATGCACATATTCCAATCTGAAATCAAGTTGCTTACCTGTGGAACTGTAACCTTGGCAGTGAGGCTTCCAGCTTGAATATCAATCAACCATGCATATTCTAAAGAGTCACTTCCCAGTGGTAAACCTTCTGCTGAAAACATGGCATGAGCTCTGAGCTGCAGACCTGAAAGTGTCATATGACCTTCTCGAAGTACTTCATCCACTGCAGGTCTCTATTAAAATAAAAGGATAGTCCTTTAAAAAAAATAGGTAAGTCTTGCTTGAAACCTGCCCAAAGAGCCTTTCTGACTAATAAGACAGGCTATACATCAAATAGACAGACAGACAGATAGATAGCCTAGGAATGTGTACTTTGTAGCTATTAAATGTTGATACTCTTTCTATTAAATAAAACATACATGTTCAGAGCTTCATCAAATGTATATAATCTATGATTGTGTCAATCAAATTGCATTTCAAAGAGTATATAAATTAGCTGAAGATTTTTATGACTCTTGTTTTATTTATCAATGAAGACCCAATCAACAAATTATAGGTACCTTTAATTCAGATGGCACAAGTAAATAAAACATTGGTTGTATACCTTAACTCAAGTCAAAATTATTAATATGGGTCAAGAAGTAGCATGAGACTGTATGCAAACATAAATGTAACTGAACACATAGTGCCAAAAGTAAGGCTAATTCTCTGAAAATAGGCAATGTTACAATATCACATATTTCAGAATGCATTGGAAAGGATCCTGCAATAATGGAAACAACCCACCAGAAAAAGCTGTTCTACCCATCAAGTATTTAAAGACACTGTTAATCCTGAGTCAATTAATACAGGATAGTAGCTCAGTGGCAGAACTTGCACTTTGCATGCAAAAAGATCCCAGATTCAAACTTCACCATTTTCAGCTAAGCTGGAATAGATTTCTCTCTGAAAGCCTTGACAGTCTCAGCAATTCTAGGCTAAATGGATTAACAGTCTGATTCCATGTAAGGCAGTGACCTGACTCATTCCAGAAATGACAATTTTAGTTTTATTTCCAGGATTAATTTAGTTAGTACTTGCTTCTTGTTATGCTAGCAGTGGGTTCTACAAATGCAACATAATGAGCAGAAGCACAATCATCATATGGATGCCCTCCATACAGTCCTCTAAAACATGGCTTGGGGTGAAATAAGATCATGTTTACAGAACTAATAATAATAATTTTAAATTCCCACTTTACAAGACAGCCAAAAATATATCCAGTAACATAATACTATTTTTTACTAATAATATTGAGAATTTATACAGAACGTTTCACACAAGATCATGAAGATTATTCCAGAGTAATAATGATTTAATCAATTATACCAAAAAGGCAGTCATCTGAAAATCTTAAACAGAAATTTATTTTCTAAGCTTTCACAGACATGAGCCAATGAATTAAATGCATATTCATATATATACAAATAATTTTACAAATACAGTAAAGCATACATATATACAGATAAAATATGTATATGTTTAAACACCCACAGTAAAAATATACATCCATCACCATCTATATACAACTCAGAAACTGGGCAACAACTGAAAACATGATATAAATAGATAAGACTTATAAATAAAATTCTTTCCAGACACATTCAAAGTCAAACATACAAGAATTCTGTTTTTATAACTAGCAGGTACAATCCTATACCCGCTTACCTGGAAGCAATACTAAATCGGTGTGCAAGCACCACTGCACTAAATCAGACTTTCATCTCAATAAACATGTATAGGATTGCACTGAATATGGATTAGTTGGTGGCAGACCTCATATTCTGGATATTAAAAACAAAGCATTTTTTGTCGTTTCTTTCAAGAAGCTTTAAAGTCATAGGTGAATTTATATGTAAACCCGAATTTTAAAATATTATATTATTGCCATATTACCTGATAATTGTCATTCAGGAATAAATTCAATGGTGATAATACCAACTGCAACATAGTTTCCTTGTATCCTTTTTTCATTTCAAAACACAACCTTTCCAGGAAAGCTGTTGGACATTCTGGGCCATCACTACTACAATGCTAAAGCACAAAAAGAAAAAAAATGTGCTCTGGTAACTGGAATACCAAAGATGTTCAAATTGCCAGATTTTGAAAAATACATGAAATGCTCTTCAACAGGAATAGGTTACTCATAAATTCTTATGAATCAGCAGTATTTAAGTGCATGTTCTAATTCCATAGCTGTAATTGAGCATTTCCAAATGATTTAGACAAACTTCTGTGAATAGTTTATACTGCAGTATTAAGATACTGATGGGACTTTTCTGCTATATGCCTACTAGAGGACTATTTGGTCACCTCCTAGCACACTACATCAATTTAGGGACAAACCACTTGAGGAACTTAATACACAGCCTGTTTTTAATTAGATAGGACACAGAAAGATATAGCAAGTAAGAGTTTAATACAGCTTACAAAAAGTAAATATTTAAGGTAAATAGGAGCTCAGAAGCATTTTCTTGCTTTTGCTATACTTTGTATATTTGTATCCTGAACAAACTACCTTGAATAGTTAAGCCTTGAAAATAAATACATATAATATGAAAGTATCATATGTATTTACTGGGTGCTCTATTTGTAAGCTATTCAGAGACATGTTGTAATTAGACAGGATAAAAATACCCAAATAAACAAATAAGTGAAAATTGACAAAGTACTTTTACTAGGCAGTAAGTTTGCCATTCTGTGGTGAAGGCGGTATGTAGCAGCTGCTTAAAGTGACTCATTGAAAGAATGTCTGCAGCCATACACAAGGCTATGGAGCTGTGGCTGCAGCAACATCAATGATCAAAGAAACTTGGGGGAGTAAGGTACAAACTATCCTCATTTTATCAATAATATCTTTGCAAAGGCAGATATGCATTGCTTTGTAATATCCTTTCATCCATCTTCTTCTAATGTGCTTGTGCTCCATAAAATCAACTATTACCAAATCCAGGTAATGAAGTTTTCTACATGAACACTAATTTCAATACATGTAATTTACACCTAATGCTTGTGGATGTAGCACCCAAAATACTTACCACTGGTAGTCTCCCATGCACTTTGTATATATTAACAAGGACAGTAATATCCCAAGGTCGTAAAGTGAGAGGGTGAACCTGTCTAACTGCTGTGTCATTGTCCTTTTTGTCAGCATCCACTCCTACAGCAGTCCATCCAGAGCTTGAAGATGTTGACACGGACAGCACAGGGCTTGAAATCACTTCCTCAAAATCGGTGTACATATCATCTTCTCCAAAATAATTTTCCTGACAAAATTAGCAACACATCAAGAGTGCTTAACATAAACTTTCACAGCTCCATAAAGATCCAGTCCTGAAACTCAGTGAAGCACATAAATGATTCTCTGATTTAATTATACAAACATATTATGCATGAAAGTTTTTTATCTTTTATCACATGCTTTAGAGATGGAGGACTTCTCATTATCAAGAATTTTAAACAACAGGAAAATTGGGTATGATAATACAAGAAAATATTTATTATTTCTTAAGCACTCAACATTAGGGCAGCTCAGAAAAATGGAATTAAGTGCTAACATTTGAAGTTGGTGATAACACAGCTCACATTAATCCAATCAGTCACACAGAGAATAAGTCAGCCCATGGCTGCATTAAAACATCACACTCACTTCCACAACTAGAAGCTTTATATGATTCAGTAATTCTCATTACCTTTATGGATAGGAAGGCTTTCAAAAGAGGTCCATATAAAGTTATCTGAGAGTCTGGGGAGACTTCCAACTCTACATGGAGTTTGTCAGGTGGAAGCTCTGAAGGATCAATAGCAGGACGAGAAGAACCTGAAGGAGAGATGCCCCTGTCTGCTGTTTTTTGTGATGGTCTCAATGCGGATAAGATGGTTTCTTCCATTTCTGATACTTGGGATAATTTAAAAATTGAAATTATTAGAGGTGCAAACCAAAATGACAAAGAACAAGCTAAATAACAAGTTTAAGGATTTAGGTAGATGATGCATTATTATATTGCTAAATATATGTAATCTGTTACAAGGTTTAAAATGGAAAGCAAAGGGACAAAGTAATGAAGCTATTTCAAACAAAATTTAAAATTAGTATTTATTAACCACATATATTGCATACTGTATTTCCAAACAAAAAATATTTTGTGCTTCCTGTGATGTGTAATAAACTAGTAAATATTGCACATATTCCTTAGAAAGCCACTGTCCACATTTAGAATAGGATGAACCACAGAATAAGTCAAAGAAATATTAAAAAGTGTATGCAAAAATATTGTATGGACTACAGCTGTTGTACTAGTGTCTCACAGATAAGTAATGTATTCTTTCTCATACTAAGTACATCAAAAGTTTCTGCTGGTTTTCAGTACATTCTGCTTAGGTCCAATTTTCTCTTTCAAAATCCTCAAATAATCCCTGTATTTGATTTGTATTGAGATATTTGATTTTTATTGAAAAAGAATAAAGAAACACTTACGTGACTGCTTTAATTGTTCATCAGCCTTCTGAGGATAAATGGGATGCCATGAGTAGTCAATTGTGAGCATAATACTTGGTACAATCCAGCATTCAACCCAGCCAGCCCTTTTCAAAAAGAACAATTTTTGTAATAGAAGATGGCTAAGAAAGCAATCAGTTAATACAGAATGAAAATCTATTACATTATAACAAAGATCATGGCACATTCATTCCTTGCATATTTTTATGCTAAGACAATAGAACTCTGTTTTGTGCCCACTGAAGGAATCCTCCTGAAGGGAGGAGCTAGAACGATCGAAGATCAAGAGCACCCTAAATCAATTAATTCCAGGAGATCAGGAGATATCTGGTACTTCAAGGGGAAAGTGACCCTTCCTCTGAGTCACAGACTGAGCAACTCCCTGTACCTAAAAAGTATCACTACCTCAAGTGCCTGTAAAAGACGTCCCTGAAAAGGAATAGTTGATTACAAAGGAGTGTTTATAGTAAGAAACAAAATCTTGTAAGTGGGACTCCTGACAAAGTACAGTAATGAGCTAAAGCTGAGCCCTGGGAGGGAATCAGGAGGTACTAGCAGTGTAAACCTTCAGTCTCAACCAAACCAGGGCTGGAAACAACACTATTCTATAAGCTCCAAGGCTTTCTACCTCCTCTCCTAGACCTTGCCTTCTGATTAACTTCCCTGCTACTGACTTTTGGACTCTTGATTATCTCTAACTCTTGATGGTGTAAAGTATGTGACTGGACTGAACACTTTGGGCCTGACCAACTGTCTGTTTTGCTACCTTGCCTTCTGAATGCTCCATAATGTATTCTAAGAGTGAATCTAATTTATTAGAAGTAGGGAAAACTTACTCTTCTTGAGTCATGTTTCTCCACCTCATTTTGCTTTGTTTTTGACCAGTTTGACTATCAGCAGAAACAGAAGTCTCAGGATTTAGTTTGGCAGGATGACAATCTTTCACCAGCAGAAACAGAGAATATTTACTAGGATGGCAGTCTGGTAGAAGTAAACGAAGATCAAGACCTTCTCCCTGAAAATATACCATGAATGTCAGAGCTTTCAGAATATTCATAACAGCTCCAAAGCGTTACAGAAATTACTTTTGTTTAAATGGTCACTATACCAATTGGACAATATACCCACATTTTTGTATACATTTGGGGAGTTGTTTATTTTCATGAACAACAGATATTAATCTTTCTTGGCACCCTTGATATGGGTACACAGGAGAGCAACTACAATTCTCAGAAATGTGTCATCATAGAATCACAGAATAGTAAAGTTCGAAGGGACCAGAAGGCCATTAGGTCCAACGTGTTTCTCAGTGAAGAACCACAAGTTGAAGCATGCTGACAGATATCTGTCCAACTGCTGCTTGCATGCCTCCAGTGCGGAAGAGCCCCCAACCTCTTTTGATAATTGGTTCCTTTGCCTTATTGCTCTACGGGGATTCAGGGATGGGAACCTTTTTTAATTCCTAGTAGAACACATAAGTTGAACTTCAAAGGATTCATACATTTTTGCAAAGAGTTATAAATCATTATCCACAAATACATAATATATGGTAACACCAATGTAATATATGTAATTGAAACAATTCCTCTAAAATCACTGTAAACAAATGACCAGATTTTTCTGTTATTATTGTAAACTGCCATCATGTATTTAAGGCATAGCAAAATGCATTCTGGTTATAGCACAGACTACATAAAATAAAGCCCCATAAGCCACAAATCCTACTGTACAAATGACTTCAGAATGAAAATATAAATATAGGTATTTTATGAGAAGATCTTTCCTATGCAGAACATAAATAGATGCATCTAAGATGTTAGATTTCAGTTACTGGGAGGCAGCTTTAGCTAGCATGGGTCATTTATAAAGAGGTAAAGAGATATTCATAAAGAGATAAAGATATTATTGGCTGGGTAAAAGAAGAAAATTTGGACTGCATGCTCTGAAGAATCAAAAGAAGAAACAGCTATACTGAGCAGTGATGACTGAACAATCTCTTCTTTAAGGTTAGAACTTTCTTTGCTGATGACAAGATCAATACCTGTTGCATGCCAATGTTATATGCGTGATTTATTTCAAAGAAGATAAAGCCACTTACCCTTAAAGAGAATCTAGTATTGCATATGCTTGGAACAAAGTCAGTAAAAGGCAAAGAGAAAACGATGTTTAATGTTTCCCCACAGGCTGCCACATAAACTACAAAGGAACAGAAAAAATATGAGTTATCTATAAAACTTCTCTTTACAAAGCCATTATTAGTAATCACTATTTTGTATGGAGCCGCCTTGATTATATATAGCAAAAAAGGCAAAACCCAACACTTATCCTCACTTCTCTTTTTACACTGGGTATCCTTCTCCCCGTTTTAGCCCCCTCGCCACACAAACTGTTCCACATGGTCTTCCAAATAATAAAAAAACTATAGATTATCCTCAGGTAATATGGCATTTGTTTTTGAAAAGCATACATTACTCCTAGTTAGAGGAATGAAATATAGTAGCTGGTTTAAAATTTATAGTTCTCACCATTTTCCTGTTGCTTTGTGGAACAATCTATCCAATTGTGCTGATTTGCTGCCCAAATCATTTCAAACTGATGAAACATGACTTTAAAATTCCATGAATAGGGCACAAATGAGAAGATATCAGGAGCACTGTCACTGCACCAATCCTCAATCAAATCTAAAAATAAACAGGACAGATTTCTGCAGGCTGGGAAAAGAGGCTCATTTATTAAACTGATTACATTTTGTTCGATTCAAAGACAGCACCTTCAGCATTTCTGATTACAAAATTCAGTAACAAAATTCCAACTGCAATTTAAATTTCCATAACCCCTTTTCTCTGTTCTTTAATCCCAAATATTTGGTTATGTAACAATAGCAAGAAAGGTAAGCATGTCAAGTTTTACTACTCTGTGCACAGTCTCTCCCACACTAGAAAATAATAACTGTTGCACTTCTAATAGCATAACTGTATCATTTTTACACAGAAGTAAGTCTCCCTGTGTTTAAAGGACATTTCACTCGACATCCTCACTCAAGTGAGGCAGTAAACAAAGGCAGTCGAGTTATGAACATCTGAAATATGAATAACCCATATGAACAAACTGCAATAAAGCCTATTCATTTTAACAAATTATTGTACAAAATCATCATTACCACAGAAAAAGAGGAAATGGAAGGGGATAGAGGGAAGGTCTCCAAAGCATCACCATAGAGAGAGTGGAAGCAAAACAATTGGAGAGGGAGGTCTCCAAAGCATGCCTTTCTTCCCCACCCATCTGAAAATCTCTCTGGCACTTCTTTGCTGCAAAGAGGTGGCACTCGTGAATTCGGGCAGAGATATCCATGTTTTTTCCACCTTCACAGGTGTCCTAAAACCCTAACCTTCAATGAATGTGGGGGGCAGATCAAATGTGATCCAACTTACATACAAATTCGACCCAAAGATGAATTTCCATTTTCCCTGGGAAGAAACTTGTTTGTAACCCAGGGACTGCCAGTATATGGGTCAATTTCTGTTGTTTTAGACTTCAATCCCAAACATAGTTTAGCTGACTCTCAAAGATTTTACTTCTTTAGTAATCACACTGGCTATAAAAAGTCAATTTTGCATAAGATTAATTTAACTACAGCTGTGAATAAATACATTTCCAAAGAGAATAAATAATCCATTTGAACAAGCTATCACAAGATTTAATTCTAAGGATTTAAATATTTCAAAATCCTAAAACTTTGCAAAAGCAGGTAAAATTTTGTTGGAACTTCTAGGCATATTCTTTACTTTCAATATATTTAGTTTTAGCCACCCAATTTCCAAAAGCTTCTCTGAAATGAGTTGTACAACTATCAAAGTAAGGTTGGCTCCAGACTTGCCATTCAAATGAATAGAGGGGCTTCTGCACTCACAAGGATCAACAAGTAAACTATCACTGTGACAAATGTCAGTTTGCTCATGCAATAAGCTGGAATTTTGGGACAGGCTAGAAAAATAAAGAAATCTGCCACTTAACACAAGTTTTGCTATCTTAAAGGAATGCGGAGGAGGTCAGTTTGCAAAAAGCAGAGATCTTTCAATATTTTAGTTTAGTATAAAAGTCATATAAAGACAATGGAACTGATCAATTTCTGTGAGAAATACATCATTTTGATAACAAGTACACTAAAACCTTCTTGCTATTCAACTGTCTATATACTATATGCTCTTGTTATTAAAAACATTTCTTTAGATAAGTCTGATGACTAAAGCAACACTGAATGAATTTAGTAAGTACACCTATACAAACATACCCCGCAAGGACGGTGGTACAATTTGAAAAATGTGCAAGTTTGTATTACACAGAAATAGAAAATACCTGTAAAGAAGCTTTTTTGAGCAAAGATGAAATGGTAGGTTGCCTTGTAAACTTCTACTTCACACTGCCATACCTGTGGCATATTCCATATCCGCGGATAGCAGGCATTAATGTGAAACTGAACAAAACACACAAGCACCATTACTCACTCATACTTTACTATGTATGGCTAAAAACAAAGATTAAAGACATATAATTGGTGAGTACATTAAAATTACCCTGCTTAGGTGAATAAAAAACTTTGTATATTAACTTTTAATTCTTTCAGTAAAAAGTGAATTTAAAAACCTTTGAAAACGTATTAAAATTACATTGTTTATCCCCTGATTTCATCACAAAAACATTAGGGGATCATTCAGTCTTGAGTCTTTTCACTTTTTTAAAAACCCCACAGTTCTTTTAAAATATCATTCTATATGCCTCTTGCATGTACTAGTTGGATGGATGTGATGTCTTGGAACGTTTAGACAGCACAGGAAGAATGCAGTTTATGTGCCTGTGGCTATATTTTATACTGACTCAAAAACCAGGAAAGAAGATGTGGGTAAGGTAGCCAACCTAACTGAGAAGAGGCAGTTAAACTAAGGGTAAAACTAACCTGGTATATGAGGTTCATGATCTGAATCTCTCATTGTTTTGTGTTGCGGCTGTTATGAAGACTGAATAATAGGGGAGTTCAATCTTGTTCTCCCTTCAGGTTTTCTACATTTCCTCCCCAAACCTTGCTATGAGGTCTATATGGGAAATCACATAGGTATGTTGCATTATATCACATTTGTCTGGCCTTTAAGGGGTAAGTAAACCCAAAGGAAGGGGGGAAAGACCCCACAAAGAAATTTAAGAGAAGAAAAAGGTAAATCAAACAGATGTCTAAGCTGAAAGACAGGCAGTGATGACAGGGAGCTATGGTGGCAAAAAGTCTAGAGCAGGGTAAGGAAACTGGCAAAAATGTGTAAGGACAGAAGAAACTTTGAAAATGAAACAGAAAGAGAATCAAGAAAGTGCCAGGGCAGTGCAAGAGCCAGAGTGATGCTATTGACTAGACAGTAGGAGAAAATGAAGGATCTTGAATAATGGGTGGCAGAAATGCCATAAAAACAGTAGAACTGGAGCAAAACTTAATGCAGGCCCATTGTGAGCTATTGAGCTGGAGAAAATGGACAGATAAGGAGATCTGGGTCAAATGGCAAACGCTTCTAGAGTTACCAGCGATACCTGAAGTGCCAGTTGGGGCTTTTACACAGAGTTGGTCTGGGTCTTAGTTCCTCTATAAACTGATTGTATGATAATTTTACATGAACACTTTTACAAATATTGTAATGAAAAGAATTTTTCTTGGTTTTTAGTATTCTGAAGCATTCAAAAAGATGTTAAGATATACACAGAATAGGCGTGAATTATGAAGTACAGTGAGTTTGTTCTTGAAGACTGCTCAAGCTGGTGCAAAATACAGCAGCTTAGAATCTACACACTAATGAAGGAAACCACTTAAAATAATTTATTCCAGCTTAACTGGAATATGACAGTATTGTTTTATATTTTATTATTTTATCTGATGGTTTGTACTCTTGTTGATGTTTGTGAAGATTGTACATGCCACAAATCCCATTTTGCTGCTGCAATTATACCTTACAGTCAAGTACCTTATTAAAAATACAGTAGAAATCATTGTGGTACTTATGAATAATACTTACAGCTAACATTTCTGCTTCTAAGAGGGTTCTGAACTGCATACTGCTGGTAGCATCTATGTGTAAAAGCTGTCCTTTAATTGTAGGAGAATAACCTAGAAGCAGAACAAAAGAAAATAGTTGACATTGTACTATCTATCTTCAAGATTACTACTAAAAAAAAATTCTGGTTAACCCTGTCTCTTAGGGGTAACTACACAGCACAATCAGAACCAATTCAAAGTAGAGATTTTGAGCCATCCATTTGCTTAAGGAAGTAACTGACAATTATACTACAGGAACAAAAGAACAGCAATACTGGTTCAACATTCTGTTCACAGTTCAACGTTCTGTTCACATAGTGGCCAACCAACTAAAAAGCCTACAAGTAAGAAATAAGTAAAATAAAATCCTCCAGCTTACACAGGTGGTGGTATACAGTACAGCTTTCCATATCTAGGGAATTCTAGGAAATACAAGAATATTAACATATACCCACAACACAAATGTCTACAAAAGGATTTAAATGCATGTAATTTGGCAGATGGAAGCAAGCTTTCTCAAACTCCCTTTTTCCATGACAGCCCCTCTAGGTCTTGTAAAAATTTATGAAGAAAAATGAGGAAGCCTACTAAATGAAATGATAGTGGGGGGGGGGGAATGCCTGAAAATCAGGCAGAGGTGTTTTTCATGAATGGAGACCTTCTGTTCACAAAAGACAGAAGGATCCATCCTTATAAACATATCACAGAATGACCTATCTAAGCCTATAATTTATCCTTTCAGAACTTTAAACATGATAGTGCTTCAATGTTCCAGTTCTCTTACATCTATGTAAAAATGATGTATCCAGTCTTCATAGGTAGACAGTAGCCTGCTAAATTAACATTAATTTAATTCCAATCTTGAAGGAATGATAGAAAATATGTAAGATCACTTTTTAATGCTGAATGCAAACTGTTTACCTTAACCAGTATACATTTTTAATGAGAAACATCTTGAACATTTAGTAATGAATGACTCATTCAGTCCTAACAAATGTTGTCTTATAAAGCAATGCTTCCACAAGTGCGTGGGGGAGGGGGTTGTTCTCTAGTTTCCCCTGTGAACCATTAAATAATTTTAGTCTCAACCTACCATTTTCAGCCACAGTCATAGGAATATTTATTTCCAAATAAGAGCCTGCTCCAACATTTACATGTACAGCATTAGTCTCCTGCCAGTGAAAATGAGATATTATATCAAGTATTTGCATTAAGACTTTATCTTATCTCAAGCTATCATCTTCCAGTTTAAACTAAAAGATTTCTCATAAAGGAGTTAGCACCCCATAATTAATTAAAAATTTGATAACAATTAGAAACTTAAGAAATGCAATAAAGTTGAAGAAAAATGTCACGTTCTGTATAAGTATTTCTTTGAGGACATCAGCAGAGGAATAGATAGCAGCTATATAAATAAATTATTTTCAATTAAGAAAATGCTGAATGTAGTAGTTATCCATTTTCTCCATAGCGTGGCAGCTTCCTACTATTTCAATGAAAAGCTTTAATCACTCAGGATATAAGTGAACTCAAGGAAAGTAGATGGGTGCAGCTATTATTAGTAGAAAAAGGTTAAAATGTAACATACTGTTACACATTTGTTTCATGTAGTAACAAGAAAAAGATACTGGCTGGAGACAAGGTAATCAAGAATATCTATCTATACATACACAAATATATGGACTGGGAAATGAAGAAAAGTCATTTAGACTAAAAAAAAATATCACTAGAAATGTGTAAAACATAATGACCCAATATGTCTTTATTATTTACCCTGTTTTTTGTGAAGAGTAAATCAATAGTGGCATCTGCAATTATATTCATACGTAGCTCAAAAGCAAGGATCTGCCTTGGCTTTCCAGGTTGTGGTATTTCTGAAACTTTCATGACTTGGTAATCTGGTGGGAAAAAGAATTTCCACAAACAGTCCCTTAAAAAAAAAAAAAAAAAAAAGGTTAATGGAGTTAGTGATCTTGAAAGAAACCTTAGTTTTCTAAATACTATTCTCTTTCATGCATTTTAAAGAACACACAAGAAACAGATACTGTATTTTTCCGTGTATAAGACGCTACTTTTTCTTAAAAACATTTACTTAAAAATGAAGGTGCGTCTTACACACGGGGAGCCGCGGGCACGTGGGGGGAGGAGACTGGCACGGGGGGGCCGCGAGTGCAGGTGGGGGGGTGGCATGCACAGGTGGCAGCAGCTTGCTTGCTGGAGAAGGGTAGGAAAAGTGGGGGGCATCCTATACATGGGGGGGGCATCTTATAGACAGAAAAATATGGTATATGAAAAAATACCTCTGCTATGTTATACTGTTGAACATCTTACACTTTGAAAAGGCTAAAGTGAAATTTTCAGTGAAATTATGTTTCAGACATATCTTAAAACATAAAGATCTAATTAGTTTAGAAATTTAATGTATAATAATAACATGAAGATTGAAACAATTCTCACTTTTAGAGAATTGATTTTGTAAGGTTATTACAGAAGTTACAGCTAATAGCCAATATAATGCTACATTATAAATATAATGGCATTCCTACAGGATATCCAATGGCCCATAAAATATAAACCCTCACAAAATAATCTGGGCAGATACTGCTGACCAAGTTGAAAACACAATGGTGTTTGAAAGCTCCAGGAAGACTTAATTGGCTTGCCAAGTCTGCCCAGACCAGCAGTCTGTTTGTTATGAGCAATAATGTATTGATGACTGGCACTCCTTATTTCTATTTGATTTGAATATGTATTGCTGTGAGCATAAAGACGACAAATATGAAAACTTCGAATCAGCTTTTCTTCAGACATATGCTCAGTAGCCATCACTTTAATGTACATCGTTGTTCTTTCATGTGTCTACAACACAACCCACTTTCCTCACATTGGTTTCCCTCTTGTTTTAATGTTATCTGGTGTTCCAAGCCTTCTTTTTCCCTATTTGTGATTAATTTAAAAATTACAAGAGAAAAAGATTTTTCATGCAAACAGAGTACTGTGAAACTCTACAATTTCCACCCCCTTATGTACAGAACCATTTCTCCTTAAGGCTTCCCTGTCGTCTACAACTGTTCTCACTTCATATCTATTTTCCTAAATGGGACAGCAAAGAACTGCAAAGCCTAAGTGCACACCACCTACTATCCCTACCTTATTCAATAGAGCCTCAAATGAAGTTGCTTAACTTAGAGAAAAAGTTTCTAGAGCCTGCTCCACTGAACTGGCCTGCCAGGGCTACAGTGGAGCACTGCTGCTGCTGCCACCCCTTTTTCATCTCCAACCCAAGTATAGTAACTGTAGGACCAGACTCCAAGTTCTGAAACACTACTTGCTTTTGAAAAGCCAGACTATTTTCTTTCAACATGGCACCAGCATAACATAACATCTAGGGAGGCAAGAAGTCTTAAAGTTCCTTACAGTTAGATGAACTGAGTTTTACACTACAGGACTCAGCCCTTTACCAAAATTGCCTTACAATTTTAAAAATGTTTATATTATAAAAATATAAATATTTTACTATATACGTATAGTAAAATCCTTAGGCAGTTATAAGAGCTAATGAACCCTTAGTAACCAAAACCATTAGAAGAGGCAGTCTTGCCTATCAAGGTTGTAAGAAAGGCACTTGCCTCATCTCTGGGCAAACATCTTGACTCTGAACATGCAGATAAATTAATAAGTGTAGGGATTTTACAGAAAGCATAATTTACTATTTGTTCTGAGACAGATAATGTGAAACCAATATGAAAACAAAATGTTAAAGAAACTGAGGTGGTTTCTCCTTAAACTCCAGCCACATTAAAGCAATCACAACAATTCTAAGGAAAACATTGATAATATATGCCACCTTTTACAGTAGCAATAGTAAAATCATCGTCGTCGTCATCATCATCACAGTACCTTTGCCTGTCAGCCCATGGACCATAGTTGAAATCTGTTCCTTTGCCACAAACTATATCTAATCCCCAACATGGTGGCAGGTCTTGCAATTTACTATCTTCATTACTGGTTTCTCCCTCATTATTTTCCTCGGTTTCTTCTGGTACCAGACCTTTATTTTAGAAAACAGCAAAAATATTTTTCAGTAATAAATATTCATAGAAGGTGTCATGTAGAATATTTCTAATTAGAACAATTAATATGCATATCACAAGAAGATAAGAAAAATGCACTAAATGAGAAAAAGCTCTGTCTAGTCCAGATTTCTACTCACATAATAGCCAAGCAGCTGCCCACAGGAGTGTCACAAGCAGGACATGAGTGTAATGGTACCCTTCCATCCATGTTCCCCCGAACTGGTGTACACAGATGATGTGAGCTAGGTTTTCTCCCTTCATACATTCAAAGCCACAGAACACTAAGCACTTACAAAACATTCTCGATTGACCGAAGTGTTTTCCAGAAGCACAAACAGAATGAATATCTGAGCATGCACAGAGTGATTCACAAAACCCAGTATAGTATTTACTTCTAGGAACTCTTCTTATGAGTATGTTTGAGTCCCTTCCTTTTGGGAGAGGCTTTCTGAAAACAAGTACTCCTCCTCTTTGCACCTTGATCCTATAATTGGACTGCCCTCCTCTGCTGATGTCATGTCATAGGTTGAAAAACATACCCATACCATCTGTCTCTGAGAAACTCCCCTGTTCCAAGCCTCCTCTCTATAATTGTACACCTTGGTTATTCTCCGAGGCTACCTGAGCATCTGGGGATGTCTCCGCTTCTCTCTTCTCAGTGTCTGGAATTAGCCCACATTCCAGCATCTCATCCTACTCCTTTGAGTCCCAGTCAGAAGTTCTTGGGAATGCATGCAAAGAGCAACTGTCTTTCTCACTCTCAAGAGACATACTGCTTCCAACTGGAAGTAGCACATGGCAATAACTAGCAGCTACTTTTTATCAAGTTATCTAATCCCCTTTGAAAGCATATAGAGTTTGCCTTTTTTCAGCAGTTGCACACTAGGCTGGGATTTTAATTGAGCTGTTCACCACAAACACAAGATGTCTTCTTGGTCAGTCATTATTACCTCAGATCCCATCAACATATACATGAAGTTGGGATTTTTCTGCCCCCATATGTATTTTTCACTTGTCTGCACTGAACCACATTTACCATTTTGATTCCCATTCTCCAAATCTCAAGCAATCATTTTGGAACACTTTGCAGTTCCTTTTTTGTTTTAACCACCTTAAATAATCAAGTACCATTAGCAAACTTGACCATGTCACTGCTCACCAGATCAACAAAAAGCACTCATACGTATTCCTAGGGATCCCACGGTTTACTTTCTAGTACTGTGAAAACTGACCATTTATTCCTCTCTCTGCAGTAGCAGATAAGTAGGACTGCACTGCAGTAGAGATCCTATGAGGCTGGGACTGAACTCTTTCCCATGTTCATTTATCTTTCAATCTAAAAATGCCGCCAAAGTAACTATTTGCTATACAGGGACTAAGCACCTTCAGCTGAAATTAACCATAACCCAGGAGTTTAGTATTTACCTGGCTCATCCATGTAATAGTAGATATCAACATCATTTGACTGCATCACAACAAAACCTTCTCCCATTAATCTTGGTGGTCTGTTATAGAAGAAAAACCAAAATAGGTAGAAATGAAAAATGACACTGTACAGGTTTGTTGTTGAGTCATTTATGTATACATACACTGGAATGTGCTGGCAAGCTCTAAAAGAAGTACTATCATGCAACAGAGAAACTTCCCCCACCCCCATCTTTCTAAGTCAATTCTACTAAAAGCTTACAATAACTTTCCTAAGTGGTATAAAAATCTACATTTTCCTCTGTACTATTCTCAACCTTGTACTAATTTAGAACATTTTATCTGATTTGATCAATACTAAAATGTTATAAAAACACTACAACTAAAATGTTATAGACCAGCAAAATGTGTACTGTTTATTCCCATCAAATCAAAACCTTTTATATCCTTTGCAATCACAGCAGATTACTTTAGAACTCTGATAACAATAGTACAAACTGAAATAGCTAGCTAAAATTATTTTCAACACACAGTAACCCAATTTTAAGTCAACTTTAAATGGCAAAAGCCTAATATTTGAATCTGTTTTTCTTGCGGAAAACTTTACTTCCCTTTCTTTTAAAAAGTTGCTTTATCCTTGCCCTATATTTCATTCTTCCTTTGTTAATGGTTTTGCTGTTAAAATAGAATCCAGGCCTATAGGGACGGATCATCTTCAGTAATTAGACCAATAATATAACAAGTCCATATATAAGAAGCAAAACAATATTACTTTGAAACTATCTCTATTTTATAGCTAGAAGGACATATATTCCATTATTTTATGTCTTTTGTAGCCATTAATTTCTACCAAATACACAAGTTTAAGCCATCTCTATATTAATTAAACTATATATGATAATTGTCCTTGGATATGGCCTTGCTGAAACAATACATGGCAATTTCAGAATAAATCTTCTCAGTACATGGGGCTACCCTTGAAGACGGTCCCGATACTTCAATTGGTTCAAAATAGAGCTGCCAGGCTGCTGACGGGGACTGGGCGTTATGTTCACATGACTCCAGTCCTCTGTCAGCTTCACTGGCTTCCTATTGAAGTCCGGGCCCAATTCAAGGTGTTGGTGATGATCTATAAAGCCCTAAACGGCTTGGGTTCTGGTTACCTGAAGGAGCGCTTACATCCATATACGCTCGCCCGCCCCTTGATATCTGCGGGAGAGGCCCTTCTCCGGGAACCCTCCGTGAAAGAAATTAGGAGGGTAGGTACTCGGAGGAGGGCTTTCTCTGCGGTGGCGCCCAATCTATGGAATGCGCTCCCCAGAGAGGTCCACCTGGCACCGTCGTTATTTGTTTTTCAGTGCCAGGCGAAGACCTTTTTATTTAAACGTCATTTTAATTGTTAATATTATATGCTTATTTTATCTGGCCAGGGTGACTTATTTTATACTGTTATTTGTTGTATGTATTATATTTTAATGTTGTGTTGTGAGCCGCCCTGAGGCTTCAGCGAATGGGGCGGCATAGAAATGTTTTAATTAATAAATAAATAAATAAATAAATAAATAAAAAAAATAAACTGTCCTTTAGAGCACAACATAGAGAAATGAGTGCAATTTCCGAGTAGCATATGCTGCAATCCCATGTGCATTCACACTGAAGTAAGTCCCACTCAATTCCATAAGACTTACTTTTAAGTAGACATGTACAGGATTGCACTGCTAGAAAGTAATTCTGCAGTGATTTTATCCAGTCAAACAACAGTTCAATGTCAATGAGAGGCTGGGGTAGGACTTCACTATAACCCTTTACAAATCTGTATACACAGGATTACATTATTTCCAAATCAAAAAGTCATTTTTTTTTCTTGTCCCCACTACCAGGAAATATCACAACAAATTCTAATAGTTTCCAAAATACATAATAACCAAGAACATGATAGAAGCTCATCAGTGAACTGTGAGCTACTAATGCTTTTTCTTCCATTAGTATTGGCTATCCCATGCATTAAAATCATAAATTAAAAGGTACAGGTAAAATCTGCAAGATATTTGAGGGTATGCAGTAGCACTTTGTGTCAAGTGTCTGCAAATCAACACTGAATACATATTAGAATACATAAGCATATTCAAAACAAACTGATCCTTAACCTGCACTTACTCATCATTTTGAAGTCCAACGTATCTTGGACTAGGAACCAACATAACCCTCACATTTTCCAGTTTTCCTTTCACAATGTGCATAAATTGATCAAGGTGACTTGAAGGTGGTTTTGTGGTGTAAGTTAAAAAAGCATCATCAAAGTTAATACAGAGGGTCTGTGGCTGATAATGATTTCCAAAAGCTAAACGACCCTAATTTCAGAGAAAATAAATTGCACATTAGGTTTTAATTAATTGTCATGAACATCATTCTCAAACAAGTTCTTGAAAAGCTCATTAATGTTACATATACTGAGAACAGCCAAGGAGTTTATACATGCACTACTACAATCACAAACAAAATGATTACATATTGTTTACCTAAGGATAGATGCAATTGAAAAAGGAAAGGTGCTTGTACATAAAACAATAAATAAAACAAGATTAGAATTATATTTTCACAAAGTCATTTGTGACAAGTGACTTACTCAGTAATTCGGGAAAAAACTTGGGGTGGGAGGGCTATGAGTTTCATTTCTTGCATTCTGCAAGCTGTAATCTGAGTTAAATGTTCAGAATACAAAAGGTTTCATTGAAAGCAACATTGTTCTTTTTTCCTGGCTAAGGTGTATGGATATTCAACAGGCAACGCCATCATCCTATGATGTTCTTTGCCCTTGCAGGCAGCGACAGAGAAGCAGGGCAAGAGCCAACAAGGTAAAAGAATCAGCAACCAGTGACATGGAGCAAGACCCAATAAATGGAACAAAGAATTGCTGTTTCTAGCAACAGCCTCACACTCTTCACAATATCTAGTTCCTTCCTAAATGTTCTAGTATGAAGAAATCCATTTCTGAAAGGCTTTATCTAGAACTTTAAGGAAACCATGTATTAAACCTAAAGATAAATTTATTAAGTACTACCAAATACATTTTTCTTAGACCAAAATGAAATATCATTACTGCTGTAGTAAGTGGTCTTCAAACCACATAGAAAAATTAAGGTAAAATTCAAACAGAATGTATTTTACTTACTGTGCTAACATTGACTTTGATTACAGGAATAAGAGATCTCCATGATGAGGAAGGGTCATGAGATTCACTTTTTGCTTTGACACTGAGGAGGAAAGTGAATTAAATTTATATAATGAATATGACAAAGGTACACCTCATATGACCAGCCATATAAGTTTTATACTGAAATAGAATTCCACAAAATACACTTAAAATCACATTCAAAGTATATTAACTTTGCCTCAGGGCAGTACAGCAGCTTTTAAATTTAAAAAAATGCATGCAAGATAGAAACCAATCATTTTATTAATAATGAATATAACTCCATGACAATCTAATCATGATATAGTTAGTTACAACTACAGAAAGTCTGATGTACACATAGACCTTTATAGATCCAGGTTGGGTTTTTGTGTATCATGGGTCTGTTTCCACCACTAAAATGAATATTGTATCAGAGCTTACATTGTCCTTGGCAGTAAGATATCTACTTAGCATGGGCATTTTTATGAAGTTAAATACAGTGAAATTAGATGGTTCCCCATAGCTGTTCCGAAATACTCCTAAAATTACCAGTCATTTAAGAATCCCTCCTTCCAGAGACTGCTACGGCAGAGATTTATACCCTATACTGAATACTGCTGAACCAGCACAGCTCAGCATACTGCTGACCCAGCACAGACACATCTGCACACAAATATTCATTGTTAAATTCAACAGCATGTGTGTTCTTCAGTTCTCACTAGGGACGCTTAGTGAGTTCAGTCTTTGGAAATTGAGATACTGTATGTTCTGGACTGCAACAATGTACAGACTGGAATGTAATGTACCAGCTTTCCAAATGTTCCAACAGTATTCCCAGCACAAAGGGAGTATTAAAATGGGTATTTTGAAAGTAAGGCACACTTATGGTACAATCCTATGCAAGTTTAGAAAGAAAAAGGCCTTTCAGCATGCCCCAGCCAACAGAGTGCCTATGGAAAAGAACTTTGAGAGAAAAATAGGTTTAGATTATATATTTTGAAATGTATTTAAATGCTAATGCTTGCACAGTATTTAAAAACAGATTAATGCAGAAATGGGATGGAATGAATTTATGATTAAATGCATACAAACATGAAACAGCCCAGAGCTAGCAAAACTGCCTTGCTGAAATATTCACAAAGGCAAAATAAAATGAGGCCATTCTTGAAAAGGTCACACTGCAAGGTTCTGAAGTCTTGCATACTGTAGGTATCCAATTTCCAAAGGGTACTCTCAAACAACAAGAAAGCTAAAATAATGAGTAAGATCTATCGGTGCACTCATTATGATTTCAGATATTATAACATACTCTCTCAGATTTCATTTAAGCAAAAATTTACAGTAACTGTTTGCACATAAGTGCCTGACTGGGTACTTCTCTCCAGAGAGCTCTTAGTCCATTATTCCCCTGGAAATGCTCTCTGCTGGATTTCATTTACAATTTCTCTAAAAAAGGTAAATCAGAACAGAGGCAGGTAGTTCCAACAACCTTTTAAAAAAGAAAAATTACAAGGTCTCTAACAAATTGCTATAGTGTTTGGCTAGGTTATCACAATCTTTGCAATATTAACTTCATCTTCACTTGGGAAAAATAAGTGATAACAAGGAGGGAGAGTGGAAAGTTACTTTCCCACTCCCATCTCTCCTTGGCAGCCTACTAAAAAACTGCTCTTGAGAACTGCAGGACCCTGCTGAATAGAATGGCCTGTGGTGTGGAGACAAAGGAAAACCAGCCCCCTCCCTCCACCCCATACTACAGTCCATCTCATTTAAATGTGTTTTTCAACCCTCAGGAGTTGATATTCAGGGAGTTCAGTGAAGAAGATGAGAGCATCACCTCCCATCCACCCCCTTTTACTTTCTCATTTTTTTAGCTACAAAAATGCTTCACCTATTCTATCAATAGAATCCTTGGACAAGGAATGAACCTCATAAAACAATAAATATAAGTAGGAACAATTCAAAACATCAAAAATACTGGAAGATCCATATAAAACAAGTAGTAGAGAACAAAGTCATCAAAGGGAGACATATGCATTTAAACAGAAGAACCTGATATCTAAAAAGACAAGGAGAAGGTCCTGTTATATACTCCCATCCTCAGTACCTTCAAATAAACTGAAGGCACAATACAGAGCTTAGGTGGTTAGGCTCATGCCCCTTAAATCTTATCCACTGGGGCAAGAGTGCAATTTTACAATTCAAAATTAGGTAGAGGTCATGTCCAAAAACTAAAACAAACACCAGCTTCAGAGCACATTAATGAATTCTGGTGGTATTGCTCAGAAATAATACTCCAGTTGTAATAGATAGTTATATACATAATAAAGTACATGTTCAAACTTCACTGAACATGACATGCTATTTACTATATTCCATATTTGATATCAAATTGGTCCAGCATGTTTTAAGTGGTGCAGAAGCTTATAATACAGGGGTTTGTGCTCAAACATTCTTTGAACAGAAAGAATATGTAACTTTACAATCTTCAGAGAAGAAAGAGAATTAAAATGCAAAATGAAAAATATCATAAAACAGTCCAAAATGCTCAAGTAAATAAACAGCCATACCTTTCAAGATTTGTATGTGTTTGCTGTCTCCCATTTTCTCTTGCTTTTTCATCCTCTTTCTTTGGAGGAATTATGGTTGGATCTAAACCAAATAATTCCTGAAGTTGCCCATAAAGGTCAGACCGATTGTAGACATGAAATTCAAAATCATTCACCATGATATACAATCTCGTTTCCGCCTTTGGATCTATAAAGTATGACAAAATCTATTAAGTGGCTTCTCATGATACCATGTCAGCAAACCATCTAAAGAACATTCTAGAGGCAGGAATAGCAGACATAAATGAATGTCTTCACAAACAAAAATGTGAACTAATTTAGTAACATCTAAAGAATAATGCAGTAAATGAGACAGTCACATTTTAGTTATGATTTTGTAAGGCAAGCATCTAGCAGTACGGATTAATAACACACCCAGCTCAAGCTTGTAAACAACTCACCCACATTATTTATGGCAATTAAACAGCATCTTTTGGTACACAAAGGGGAAGAATTGCAAGGAGCTTTGGGTTTCTTGGAGGCATAGCATGTATGAATTAACAAATAAATAAGTTAGTTGAGAAAAGGAAAATAAACAAACAAAGGCCGCTTCCTTTTCGCACACTTTACCCACATGCCCATCTAGCCTTTTCTGGCACGGTTTCAAGCTTTTGGCTCTGGCCTCTTGGCAGAGCAGCAGAGGCACAGGCTGGGAGAGAGTGCTGAGAGGCCAGTGGACTGGCGCAGGCAAGGTAGGAGCTGGGCAGCGGAGCAGGAGGGCAGGAGCAGCAGAGAGGAAGGGGGCGGGGCCAGAGAGGCTAGAGCGGCCAGGAGGAAGCAGAGGGGTGGGGCATCGTCCCTTGTCTGCGGCCCGGGCTGTCCAGAGACTCCCTTCCCTGAGACACAGAGGTTTGATTGTTTGTTTGTGCTGTGCTTTGTTTTTCTTCCAATTTAAATTTAAGTTATTTTATCCTTGTGTGTGTGTGCGAGTGAGTTTTCGTCTGGGAGAACTGGGCGAGTGAGAGGAACTGCAGGAGAAACAAGGCAGGGGACCAAGGTAGGGTCTCGGAAGGGATCCCGATGGCAGACCAGGAGATGGCCTTGGCGGGAGTCATGGGTGTTGCTGTCCGCTGCGAGAGCTGCAACATGTTTGCCCTTCTCCCCCAGGAGAGGCAGGGATACACTTGCCCTCAGTGCAAGCTGGTGACCCTGCTAGAAGAGGAGGTGAGGTGCCTGAGTGCCGAGAGAGCTCTCCAGGCCCACCCCCCCCTGGAGCAGCCCCCCTCTGGACAGAGGGTTGAGGGATAGACCACGGGAGGAGCAGCTGCGGCGACATGGAGGTATGTCACCCACAGGAGGAGGAGGAGGCCAGCACGGCCGCCTCCTTCTCCTGGCACCAATCTGGAGCTGGGAAACAGGTTCTCTCCACTTGGGGAGGCTGGGGCTGATGACCAGCAGGACCCCCAGCCTGGGACATCAGGCGGCAAGGGGGCTGCTGCGGGAGAGGCAAGGGCCAGGGCACGGCTGCCCACCAGCACCGGGAAGGCACAGCGGCGGGTGATTGTTGTTGGGGACTCCCTGCTGAGGGGCACTGAGGCGGCAGTGTGCCGCCCCAACCTGGAGACAAGGGAGGTTTGCTGCCTGCCAGGCACACGCATCCAGCATGTGAAGGACAGTGGAGTGTCTTGTTCGCTCTGGGGGTCACCAGCTGCTCCTGGTGATCCATGTGGGCACAAACGATGTGGCCAGGTAGGGTGTGGTTGGGACCACCAGGGACTTTGAGGCCTTGGGGAAGAAACTCAGGGAGCTGAAGGCCCAAGTGGCCTTCTCGTCAATCTTACCTGTCCGAGGATTTGGGCCAGGAAGGGACAGGAGGGCCTCCAAGGTGAACGACTGGCTTAGGGTGTGGTGCCAGAAGGAACGCTTCAGGTTCCTCGACCACGGCACTCGTTTTCTTGCCAATGGACTTCTGGCAAGGGACGGGTTACACCTCACGAGGATGGGGAAAAGGTCCTTTGGAGATGCTCTAGTGAGCTTCGTCCGGAAGACTTTAAACTGAGCCGGGGGCGGGGGGGTGAGTTCAGGTCCCCCAGTAACGTGTCTGCACTGGACAAGTGTGAGGGGAGGATCAGGGCTCTGGGAGCAGGGTTTTAGAGATACTGCAGGGACTGACAGGACTCCTACAGAGAGGGGCCAGGTATCAGGGAGGATGGGAGGAAGGAGGAGGCTGGAAACTCCAAGGAAGGAAGCGGTGGAAAGGAGTTGAGGTGCATGTACACCAATGCTAGGAGCATGGGTAATAAGCAGGAAGAGCTTAAAGCTCTCCTGGGAATAGGAGGGTATGATCTGGTGGGAATCACAGAAACTTGGTGGGATGAAAGGCAAGTCTGGAATGTGAACATAGAAGGGTAACACCTTTTTTGGAAAGGACAGAAAAGGAAAGAGAGGTGGGGGCGTGGCTTTATATGTCAGGGAAGGGATAGGATGCAGTGAGATAGAATGCAATAAGATGGGGATTCGGTAGAGGCAGTCTGGGTGAAACTTAGGGGTTTTGACAGGGAAAGAGACCTGACAGTGGGGGTATGTTATCGCCCTCCAGGACAACTTGAGACACTGCATGATGTCCTGACAGGTCAGATTCTAAGGATATCTCGGGGGAGAGACACAGTAATTATGGGAGATTTCAATCTCCCGGATATTATTTGGGAGACTCACTCGGCGGTGACAGCCAGGTCACGTCGCTTCCTAGAAGCTATAGAGGGAGGGTTTTTCACACACAGAGTCCAAGAGGCGACAAAGGGGGAAACATCCTTGACTTGGTCTTGACCAATAGGGAGGAGCTGATAGATGAAGTACAGATTAGGGGAGCTCTGGATGCGAGTGATCACTCCATCCCTTGCTTTGAGATCGGGGACTGCAGACGGGCAGCAGGTCGAGCACTAGAAGCTGGGACTTCAAGAGGGCCAACTTTGGCCAACTGAAGGCCAGACTGGGGAAAGTCTCCTGGGATAGGTTACTGGAAGGTAAGCGAGTTGAGGGGTGGATAGCACTCAAAAGAGAGGTTTTGGAGGCGCAAGCCTTGACGATACCTCTAGTCAGTAAGGTGGGGAGGCGGAGGAGAGTGCCGCCGTGGATGCAAAAGGAGGTGGTTAGAGGGATTAGACGAAAGAGGAACCTCCGTAGGAAATGGGTACTGGGGCAAATAGACAAAAGGGTATACAGGGAGGAGGAGGCCCATTGCAGAAGGATTCTTCGCAAGGCTAAGGCTGATTACAAGCTGAGACTTGCCAAGAATATCAAGAGCAATAAAAAGGGCTTCTGTCAGCTTGTAAATAGGAAGAGGAAGGGGAGACAAGTGGTGGGACCACTAAATAAGGAGGAAGGAGATCCAGTGACTGATATGAGGGAACAGGCACAGATGCTAAATCACTATTTTGCCTCTGTGTTCTCCCCAAAGCAGGACGGGGGATATCTGCATAGGAGATTAGATGAGGCTGGGGACTTAGGGACATAGATTAGAGTCACCCCCCTTGAAGTCGAGGGGCTCCTCAGGGCATTGGACATTACAAAGGCGCCAGGCCCTTATGGGTTACACGCCCGCTGGCCTCCATTTTTGAGACCTCGTGGAGAACGGGTGAAGTTCCAGAGGACTGGAGGGTGGCATCAGTGGTCCCAATTTTCAAAAAGGGTAGTAGAAAGGACATGGGGAATTATAGACCGGTTAGCCTTACGTCCATTGTAGGAAAAACAATGGAAAGGCTCATAATAGCGAGAGATCTAGTGATGCTAGATAGGGAAGGGAGGCTGACAGCCACAGAACACGGCTTCCGCAAAAACAGGTCCTGCCAGACGAACCTTGTGGAATTCTATGACAAGGTTTTGTGATGGCTAGATGGAGGGGATGCAGTGGATGTGATATACCTGGATTTCAGCAAGGCATTTGACAAAGTGCCCCATGATATCCTAGTGGAGAAACTGAGGAGTTTTGGGATACACCAAAGCACTGTCCGGTGGATTAGGGCATGGTTGACTGACCGAAAGCAGAAGGTAACCATTAGCGGGGAATCATCGGGATGGCGGCCAGTGACAAATGGGGTCCCCCAGGGCTCTGTCCTGGGGCCGATCCTGTTTAATCTTTTCATTAACGACATGGAAGAAGGGGTGACACTCGCAGACGACACTAAAACTGGAGCAGTGGCCACAACTGAGGAGCAGGTACTCCAGATCCAAAAGGATCTGGACAGACTATGGAAGTGGGCAGGAGACAACAGGATGGTGTTCAATGTGGATAAGTGCAAGGCCTTGCATTTGGGGCATAGGAATAGCTGTCATAGGTGATAAGGTTAGGTGATAAGTGGCTGGAGAGCAGCACTTGTGAAAGGGACCTCGGGGTACTGGTTGACTGCAGGCTAAACATGAGTCAGCAGTGTGATGCGGTGGTCAAGAGGGTGAACGCCACCCTTGGTTGCATAGCCAGAAGTGTGGCTTCTAGATCAAGAGAGGTATTACTACCACTCTGCACGACTCTAGTGCGCCCACAACTAGAGTATTGTGTTCAGTTTTGGGCCCCTCATTACAGAAAGGATATAGCCAGGTTGGAGTCAGTGCAGCGTAGGGCCACAAGGTTGGTGGCCAGTTTGCAGGGGATGCCATATGAGGTGAGACTGAGGGAACTGGGTCTCTTCAGCCCGGAGAAGAGGAGACTCAGAGGGGATATGTTGGCGACATACAGGTATGTGAGGGGGTGTCACATGGAGATGGGTAGAGACCTGTTCTCCCCTGCAGAGGAAGGCAGAACGTGCTCAAATGGAGCAACGCTCAGGGAGCCAAGGTTTCGTTTGGATGCCAGGAAGCACTTCCTGACAGTCAGGACCCCGAGCGTGAGGAATGGGCTTCCGCAAGAGGTCATTGAGGCCCCACTGCTGCGGGTGTTCAAGGATAGGCTGGACGTCCACATGGTGGGCATGTCGTGAGCAGAGCCGGCTGGTGCCGGAGGTCAGACTAGATGGCCCGGGAGGCCCCTTCTGACTCGCTCTGTTTTCTATGTTTCTAAGTGCTTACTCTTCAAAAGGTTAATGTAATATATAGTTGGAACCCTATTGGCAAAGTGGATCTAGTTTAACCATCTCTCTGTAGCCTCATCCATTCTAATGCTACTTTTATGTTGATTAAAAGTTAAATTTATAACTTATATTGTTGCCAACAGTCTTATAGAATAGTATATGTCATACTGTTAAACCTACCAAAAATGGAAATTGTGCCATACGATTAAACAACAACATTCATTCCGAACTATACATGATCATATATAATGTATAATTAGTGATAAACACTTCTTCATTTTCAAATTGTGTGACCTAATTAAAAGCAACTCTAATATAATTAACTAGTTCTTTTTTCTTTTAAAGACAACTCTTATTACTGATTTACTCAAGAGACATGAACTCCTTTGATGTTCCAGTAAATTGGGTCTACTCCTTAAGGTATATTACCAACTTATCTCTGCACTTTATGTATTTACCTACAAAATAAGAACCTCCTGTTACCTCCTGAACAATGTTCATTTTGCACATCTCTTAAAACTGAACATAACACAGCAAAATTTTTCAAAGACCTGCTACTATAAGGCTTAAGCAATGAAGGAAATGTTATCCTGTTAAAATTTTAACATGCTTTCAACTTCAAAGCTGTGGTTCAGGAAATAAACTTAGTCATTAAAGGCTCATGAATTAAACTGGTTTTCTAGAAGTATTTTTAGCTTCAACATATTAATCCAGAATGACTAAATGATCAAGAATTAAGAAAATAAGAAAGACCACCAGCATGAACTTTCCCAGGTCTGTCATAAAGTATCTTTATTGTTTCAAATTTAGAGATTCAGAGGCAGAAGTAATGCTTTTGTCTTTCATTTATCATCTATGACAGTCTAACTGGGTTCAAAATACACGCTAACCCACCATTGCTTATAAACCACATTTAACATATTCTCTAATCCCAGCACTGTTTCCTTGGGCAGGTTTAAAAGCTGCACCAGTTATCCAGGACTGGCACCTCCTTATGAGGAAGTAAAGCTGAGGTGCTAAATCCCACCTGCTGGTGTAACCTCTGCAGTGGCAGAAGCAGGTAAGGAACTTACCTTTCTGTGACAGGAAGACAATCAGAATGGCTTGGCAACCGCAGTTTCATTCCCTCTCCTCCACAGTGGGAAAAGTGGAAACAAGCCAGGAAGTATCCCTTCCTGTTATCTGCCCTATCCACTTTCTCTTTTACAATGAGGAGGCATGCAAGGCAAGCAGCACTGATGCCAGCCTCATGCCACCTTCTCAAGACCCAATTAGGACTTCAGAAGGCTCACACAGCAGACACTGGCTCACTTTCCCATCCCAGGTAATATGGCACTTGTGGGTGCTGTGCCATTCAAAGGTGGGATATTCTGGGCCAGGACAAGTTTGGCTAGGCCTCTTCCCAGGCATGCCTCAGCTGGCTGGTAGGAAATGGGCATGGGCAGCCTTCCCCCCGTTCCGCTTTAGCATGCCATGCTGAGCAGCAGGAATGATCACATAGGTAGCCTCCTTGCTGCTGCCCACCTGAAGCATGGCACATCAGAGCAGAAGGTTGCCTTGTGCTGAATTTGAGTCCAGCATGAAGCAGCCCTTCTCTTTTCACCTCCCATTCCACATTCCCATTCAGCATTCCTGAAAGTGCTGAAAGGGATTGTTTATGAACAATCCTGCTCTGCCAGCATCAGCAGTGGGCAAAGGGAAAGCAGGTAACAGTAGCCCAAAGTGCCCACTTTTTGCTACTGTCATCTTGCTCCCCTCATTGTTCCTACAATGTCCCCCCTGAGTAGGTAGGAAGAGGAGGCAGGAAGTGAGACACAACCCCCCAGTGTGCCTGACCATCTTGTCAAGCACAGGAGAACTTGACCTGCAATGTTGTTGTTGTTGTTAGTCGTGAAGTCGTGTCCGACCCATCATGACCCCATGGGCAACATGCCTTCCTGTCCTCCATCATCCCCCGGAGTCCACTCAAGCTCACACCAACTGCTTCAGTGACTCCATCTATCCACCTCATTCTCTGCCATCCCCTCCTTCTTTTGCCATCTATTGTTCCAACTTTCACAGTCATACATTGTAACTGGGAAAACCATAGCCTTCACTATATGCACTTCTGTTGGCAGGGTGATGTCTCTGCTTTTTAGTACGCTATCTAGATTTGCCATAACTTTCCTGCCCAGGAGCAAGCGTCTTTTAATTTCTTGCCTGCAGTCCCCATCTGCAGTGATCTTGGAGCCCAGGAAAATAAAATCTGTCACTACCTCCATTTCTTCCCCATCTATTTGCCAGGAAGTGAGAGGACCAGATGCCATGATCTTAGTTTTCTTAATGTTGAGTTTCAAGCCAACTTTTGCACTCTCCTCCTTCACCCGCATCAAGAGGCTCTTTAGTTCCTCTTCATTTTCTGCCATGAGAGTGGTATCATCTGCATATCTGAGGTTGTTGATATTTCTCCCAGCAATCTTAATTCCAACTGGTGATTCATCTAGCCCCACCTTTCTCATGATGTGTTCTGCATATAGTTAAATAGGCAGGGCGACAGTATACAGCCTTGCCGAACTCCTTTCTCAATTTTGAACCAATCAGTGGTTCTGTGTCCAGTTCTCACTGTTGCTTCTTGACCCACATATAGGTTTCTCAAGAGACAAATAAGATGGTCTGGTACTCCCATCTTTTTAAGAACTTGCCACAATTTGTTGTGATCCACACAATAAAAGGCTTTAGCATAGTCAATGAAGCAGAAGCAGATGTTTTTCTGGAACTCCCTAGCTTTCTCCATGATCCAGCATATGTTGGCAATTTGATCTCTAGTTCCTCTCCCTCTTCAAAATCCTGCCCATACTTCTGGTAGTTTTCGGTCCACATACTGCTGGAGCCTAGCTTGTAGGATTTTGAGCATAACTTTGCTAGCAAGTAAAATGAATGCAATGGTGCGGTAGTTTGAACATTCTTTGGCATTGCCCTTCTTTGGGATCGGAATGTAAACTGACCTTTTCCAATCCTGTGGCCACTGCTAAGTTTTCTAAATTTGCTGGCATATTGAGTGTAGCACTTTTACTGCATCATCTTTTAAGATTTTGAATAGCTCAGCTGGAATACTGTCACCTCCACTAGCTTTGTTGTTGCTTAGACTTCCTAAGGCCCATTTGACTTCATATTCCAGGATATCTGGCTTGCGATGCATGGATAAAATTCCAGTGGGATTAAAGTGTGATGCAAGTCTACCCATTACTTGCTCAAGATAGAAAATATAACTGAATTGACACATAAAAACTATCACGTACAACTACTATTTCCTAATAATAGTTTCGACCCATATGCACACTTTTTTCAGATCAGTTTAGATATTGTTAGCCTTGGTATAGTTTACTTCATTGTTATACTAAACCATACCAAGCAACTCAAACCTGTTTTAGGTCTTAATCAGACTTCATTTATATCACACCTCAAGTGGATATGATCAGTAATGAATTTATCTTGATAACATGGTCACAAAGTTGTTTGAGTTGGGAGGTTACAAGTTTCCCAGGACCACCTAACAATCGTCAAATCTGTGCTTTCCAAATAATTCTAAAGCTGTTACACTACATTGCTATAGTAATTCAAGGCAGCACTATAGACTGGTTATCCATTTTTTCTTCTTACATACTCAAGTACTACTTTTAGATTTCAAACTATATACAGACTGGTTCATTATCTTTTTCAATCTATACAGAAAAAAATTAATGCACAGAAAAATTCACACTCATTTAAATATATGATCAACCTGGTCCTGTAACAAGGAACTCCTGGTTAACAAACACAGTGTCTCAGCTCAATAACTACTCTCAATCTCATTATCAGTGTTGACTCAGGGGGAAGTAACATTTAAGTAAACCCTTTGTTTAAACCCCTCTGCAGAAGTTATCTCTACTGCACAGCTTCTATCTCTGACCTAATTTGGACAGCACAACCATACACCTTGGGTTAATGTATTATTATTAATTTCATTTCTATACTACCCTGCAGCCAAAGGTCTCTGAAATGTTGGCCCTCAAGGAGCTGCTGTATGTGCCATCCCATCAAACCTTTTGAATATGTAGTTGTTACACAGGGGTTACTATGGCTAATCATGTCATCCAAACACAGGCAGCAGGGGTTCTTTGAAGGTTAAATAATTTTTGTAATTGTTGTAGTAGTATGCAAGTCTTGTTTATAAAATGCTAGACCAGATGGAAATTTGGCATGATTGGTAGGATTTTTCTTATGTTCTGCTTTTCAATTCATTTTTCCCCTTTCTTTTTAAAAGTTTGAAACATTTATATGATGCTGGTGAACTGAGTAACTTAAAACCCATCAGAAGACCATGCTGTACTTCTAAGACTAATGCAAGCTACAACAGCCTAAATGGACAGAAAACTGCTTGCACAGCCATACCCAATAAATGCAACTATATTAATTTCCAGGCATGTTAGCTACTGGAGAATAATTAAAATACAGAACAAGAGAAGATCTAACTAGAAAATCTCAATCAGCTTGCATGAAAACACTGCAACTAAGAAAAGCTGGGCAACTAAATCGGACAGATTTAAAATATTTATCCTTTAAAACCCATTTAGAAAAGTGCAATGTGTCTTGTTTCACTGAATATTTATAAGGAACTGTTTGCTTACAATATACAAACATTATTCATTCAATCCATGTAGAGCTGCTTTTCTAACAAAAAGTCTAATATCATACACCTTTAAATGTATGACATGAAAACTTACCATGTTGTTTCTGTTTTGGATTGTACATCTTCCACCAACGAAATATAATAAAGCCATCTTGGATTCTAAAAATATGGTTACATAATTAATATTAGAAATATTAATGTATGAATTATTCACAATCAATTCAATTCCAAATAGCATAGTTATTAAACTGCAATTTAGGCTTCTTAAATATGTATTTGTGATCCCACTTTTCAAAACCTGAAAAAACAACATAGACATTCTGGCACTCATCGCCACTTGCTATTTATCCATTAAGCAGTGAGTGCTACCATTCTGCAGAAACTCCTTACCTTAAACCTGGAGAGAGTCCCTTCAAAAATCTTCACATTTTATAAAAAGTATCTTGCTTTGGTTTACTTTATTTTACTGTAAGAGTCTTTTTTCTACCAGTACTAACGGTCCAAATAAAAGAGGTCCTCTTCGCAATCATGTTAGAGCAGGGGTCTCAAACTCAACTTACCTGGGGGCCGCTGGAAGTAGAGTCTGGGTGAGGCTGGGCCGCATCAAGTATTCCACCACCGTGGTGGGGGTGGGCCGCTCATCCCGCGTGGCTCCCGGAGGCTGGCCCGGGCACCGCCGGCGCTTTGAAGGCCGCAGGGCCCTCCCCCGTGCCCTGCCCGTCCCGGCAATTGGCCCGTGGGCCACGAGTCTGAGACCCCTGTGTTAGAGCCTAGCACTGAGATAATACAAGAACCCTCTGTGGGTTTTTAGCGGATTCTGTACATTTGTCACAAGCTGGTTATGCAATAAGCAATCCTGACAACCCATAGTTTCTTCTAGGAGTTGTTTGATCCACAAGGGATTGTTATGTTGTCTAAACCTGAAAGTGCAATTTCATGCTGGGCTGCAGAGATAAGCTAGTAAGGCAAGTACAAATCTTGCCTACTGGAAATAAGCATTTTAAAATAGCCATACATTTGAAGTAAAATGCAAGCAAGTTAAGTACCTGATTGACATGTCTTCTGTAATGTAATAAATTTCACGGACCATAACTTTTCCAGACAGTACAGAGAACGAGAATGAGCCTATATTAAAATTAGAATTTCTGGTAAGTAATTAGTCATCAACAATATTAGCTGCACATACATATTTTCCTCACTTTGAATGGATTAATGACATTTCTAAATTCAAATTCCACTGTCCATGAGCTTTCAAAATGCTGGCACAAAACAGACATATGCTGACTGAACAACTAAAGCAGGGTGCGAGGGAAGCAGTAGGCAGCAAAAACAAAGAGATGCACACTTACATTGTATTCTATACAGGATAATGCTTAACTGTATGAGTTAATGTTATACAAAGTGTTAATTAGACTGTGCTTTCTGTTATTTGTACAATATTCTTTTATATATTCAGAGCTCTATTGGTATTTCAGATTAAAGCTAATAAAGCTTACCGATATGGATGTAGCCATTTTTGTGCAATCTGTTAAGAACCAATGTTAAAATAAGTCCAATATTCCGGGAATTGTAATAGGTTAGGTAAATAATCCATCCACAGGACAAAATAGTAGCTGTAAAATTAAATCAACATAATTTTAGAACTTTATCCAAATGAAAGTTAGAACTATTGCATTAGAACACACACACACACACAAAAAAAACCAGCTATTGTATTTTGCACTGTTCACTATGACCCAGATGGAGAACTAGCTTTCTGCTTAGGAAACCAGGATTTTCAACTCTCTATAGAGTTATTTGTGGTTATTGTTACATTCACAAGCTTTGAACTCCTATGTTCTTCTGTCTCTTTTCTTCCTCTGACATAGTTACAAGGTAACTGGAAGACTTAGCTAACTGTAATTTATTGTTGCATCTGAACTAGAAACTGTGGTTAACTTTATCTATAGTTCACTGAAATAATGCAGGGTAGCTGACCACAATTATTCTGTGAAATTAAATTAAGCCTCCCAGAAATTAGTAAACTCTAAGCATAGTTTTTCCAGGTCAAATCAATGACAAACTGCAGCTAGGTGAAAAGTGAAGTAAATGCTTTCGTACAGCTGCACAAAAAAGGGAAGGGAAGAGCCCAAGACTCAAGCATGCAACACTAAACTATGGGCTAGCATTACATTTAAACACAGCCTAGTGTGTAGTCTTGATCAAGTCACTGTTCAGCTTTTCCTTCCTGTCTAATCAAATGGAATAATAGTTGGTGTGAGGATGAATGCAATAAAACTAAAACAGAGTGTAAGATTTTCTCCCTTCTAAGTGCTGCATCCCTGCAGAGAAAAATCTGTTAAGACCTGCATGCTAGCGCATAGCAAGACCAGAGCCATCCCCCTCCCTCCCTCTCCCTCTCCTTTGACCTTTATAACTGTGGGAAGCAATGTGAACCTGTCACAGGGTATGGGAGGGATGGTTAATCCTTCCCTCCCTAGCTACAATGGGGAGGGGGAGGGGAGGGGGAGAAAGAAAACACTGCAATGTTTAGTGCAGCAATTACACTTCTTAAAAATCTTCTACTGGCACTAATAAACGCTTTTTAAAAGCCTAATGGCTGTGTGTGGAGACCCAAGGAGAGGAGGCTACACACTAGATTGAGTAAACCACATCCAGTCCATGGCCCAGAAGTTCGCACTTCTGCTGTAAAGCATTCTGCAAACTGGAAATGCTAATGGTAGCAGTAGCAAAGATCTCAGGTTTGCTTTTGATGTTGGTACAAACATTGTATTCAAAATCACAGCAACACCTGAGTTATTGGCAATGGTTCAGATTATGGCTATAATCCAATTACTTGTGTGGGCAATTTGGTAAAATACTCAGACAACAACCTCCTGAACAAATACTCAAGTAGTTCCCTCCACAAGCAAGTCCATGTCTATGGTGGGTGAGGGGAACAAAGTGCAAGTTAAGAACAACTGAAGAACAAGGGCTATGCTTTCACAAACACAATTAAAAGCATAGCTGCTTTGGATTTCAAGCAAAGCCAATTATTTATGTACATAATACATGGAGGAACAGAAAAAAAGTTACATACCAACTAAGAGCCAAACAACATTAGAGTCATGTTCAGTAAGAAAATTTTCCAGCTGAGTGATACTGGGAACAATGCTCTCATTTCTCTCCATTGTTAAAATATTGCAGCAGGGTCTGGATGACTGAACAAGAATTAAAAGATCAAAATCAGATGATTTTTTTTTCAAAGCAATCCTGAAATCAATTCATTTCTTATTACAAAACATATGTACATATGTTTTCCTTTAAATAGTTCAAATGCGATTAAGCACTGACAACCTAACTGATCTTGTGTTTGCTTACTTAGAAGTAAAATCTGTTCTATTTATTAAATGTGCACAGGAATGCAGAGTAAGTGCCTCTGAACACCACAGCAGGACATGAGTTTGAATAAGCTTACATGGAATTTCACCGTTACAGTTTTTATGACAGTGCAAGTCCCCTCCATACATGAAAAATGTGGAATCGACAACGTAAGTAACTTTAGTGACAGGATTAAATTACACTTCATATTAAACATATAATCCTGTTTAACTTAATCTAGAATGCTTTGGATTTTACCTGCAGGGCTCCCAAACAGGACTGAAGCCATGGCATGCGTGTGTGTGAAATATGTGCATTGGTGAATGGGCAATACATTTTCTCTTATTTGCCCCTGGAAGTAATTTCCTCTAAAGGAAAGCTGCTACTGAGAATTTACATTAAAAAGTCTCCAAAACAAATGCTAGCAAATTCTACTGCATCAAAGACAACAAAGTGTCCTATGGTACCTTAAAGATTATTATTACCTTAACATGTGGTATTGTACCATAAGCTGTCACAGTCTAGAACCTACTTCATTTCCAATAATACATTTGTCACTTTTTAAGGTGCTACCAGACATAAACATAAGGGAACAAACATATTATGCCAGTGTTCATTATATAAGGGCATCCTAATGAACTATAAGCCCACAAGAGTCCAAAGCTTTCCTTGCATCTCCCCTGTAGCACATACATCATCTACATATGGCAGTTCTAGCATTTCAAGTACACAAGAGTGACTAAAGATGGTGCTATGTAGAGGAGCAGCTGGCCTAATTTCCAATAGCAGTAGGCACTCTCCAAAGGGCAGGTTAGTCCTACAGGCTTCCCACAGTGCAGGCATACCTCAGAGACATTGCAGGTTCCAGACCAACACAATAAAGCAAATATCAAAATAAGGCAAGTCACATGAAAGTTTTTTGGTTTCTCAGTGCATATAAAAGTTATGTTTACATTATACTGTAGTCTATTAAGTGTGCAATAGCATTATGTCTAAAAATGTACATACCTTAATTAAAAATACTTTATTGCTAAAAATGCTAATCATCTGAGCCTTCAGCAAGTCATAATCTTTTTGCTGGTGGAGGATCTTGTCTCAATTTTGATGGCTGCTGACTTATCAGGGTGGTGTATGCTGAAGGCTGGGATGTCTGTGGCAATTTCTTAAAGTAAGACAACAATGAAGTTTACCACTTTGATTGACTCTTCCTTTTACAAAAGATTTCTCTGTAGCTGTTTGACAGCATTTTACCCACAATTTCTTTAAAAATTGCAGTCAGTCCTCTCAAACCCTACTGCTTTATCAACTAAGTTTATGTAATATTCTAAATCCTTTATTGTCATTTCAACAGTTTTCACAGCATCTTCACCAGGTGTAGATTCCATCTTAAGAAACCACTTTCTTTGTACACCTAGTAGAAGTAGCTCCTTATCTGTTCAAGTTTTATCATGAGATTGCAAGCAGATCAGTCACATCTTCAGGCTCTACTTCTAATTCTAGTTCTTTTGCTATTTCCACCACATCTGCAGTTACTTCCTCCAGTGGCATCTTGAATCCCTCAAAGTCAGCCATGAGGATTGGAATCATCTTCTTCCAAATTCCTCTTATTTTTGATATTTTGACCTCTTCCCATGAATAAGGAATGTTCTTAATGGCATCAAGAATGGTGACTCCTTTCTAGAAGGTTTTCAATTTTCTTTGTTCTGAGCCATCAGAGAAATCACCATCTATAAGCAGCTCTTCCTTTCACTTGGACACTAAGAGGCCATTGCAGGGTTATTAATTTATCTAATTTCAATATTGTTCTGTCTCAGGGAATAGAGAGGCCCAAGGAAAGGGAGAGAGATCAGGGAATGACCAGTCAGCAGAGGTTTCAGAACACATACAACATTGATCGATTAAGTTTGCCATCGTATATGGGTGTGATTTGCGGAGCCCCAAAATTATTACAATAGTAACATCAAAGATCACTAATCACCATAACAAATATAATGAGATACTAGTGAGAATTACCAAACTGTGACACAGAGACACAAAGTAAGCAAGTGCTGTTGCAAAAATGGTGATGATAGGCTTGCTTAAAACAGGGTTGCCACAAACCTTCAATTTGTAAAAAATGCAATATTTGCAAAGCACAAGAAAACAAGGTATTTCTGTAATGCTGCTCATGAGTGCACCTTTTTTATTTCCTCCTATATACAAATCACACAGAAATGTTACTTATTTATTACACTTATATACTGTTCTAATAGTCCCACAAGATTCTCTAAGCAGTTTACAACACAAGAAATGATAAAACAATATAACAATAAAATAAGTAAAACCAGCACAACAATAGTATAAAAGTGTAAATATAACAGTAAAAATATAGCAAGTGAAAGTTAAAACATGGTGAATTAAAATAATAAAACTGCATAAAAATCTTGTTTAAAACTATCTACAATAAAAATCAGTTACTGAAATGTCTGGAGAATAACACTGTTTTTGCCTGCCGCCTTCATTACAATCTTCCTGCCAACCTTGCAGTTCGAAAGCATACAAATGCAAGAAAAATGTTTTAATAAATAAAGATAAAAATAAAAAAAGATAAAAAGGTACCACTTCAGTGGGAAGGTAACAGTGTTCTGTGCACACCTCAGTGTTTAGTTCATTACAATCTACAAACTACTTTCAGGAGGCTCAAATGGGGCATAATCACTGAAAAGGCCCTTCTTCTATTTGTCATCCTGCTCATCTTCTTGGAGAATGCCCCTTTCAGAAGGGCCTCCTAACCTGATCTTAGGAGTTAGGCAGGCACATGTAGGAGAAGGCAGTCCTTCAGGTGCCCTGGTTCCAAGCCATTTAGGGCTATATATTAAAACAAGCTCTTTAAATTGGGCCCAAATTTCAACTGGTAGCCAATGTAGCTGATATAATATTGGCATGATATTGATATATGGGCACAGGTACTAGCTTACATCAGCAGTCACACCACCCTATTTTGTACCAGTTGACGTTTCCGAACTTAAAAGGCAGCCCCACATAGAGCATGTTACCGTAGACTAACTGAGAGATTACCAGAGCATGGGTAACTGTGGCTAGGCCCTGCCTGTCCAAGTAGGGCCATAGCTGATAAATTAACCATAGCTGAAAGAAAGTGCTCCCAGCACCACTTTCTAGACACAGTCAGCCAGATAGGAGTGGCACCACTGCAAAGCAGTGCCCCCAAAACAGTCCTGTCCAGAAGGACACCATGGTTGATACTCTCAAAAGCTGCTAAGAAGTCCAATAGGGTTGTCTCTCTTGTCTCTTTCCTAATTCAGCCCCTTGGTCCAAGTTTGGCTTCTTTACCACAGGCTCCTTCAGGGTGGCTGGAACCATCCCCTCTCTTTGAGGCATTAACGGCCTCCTGAACCCAGGTGCAAACCCCCCTTGCTAGATCTCTTAACTAGCCAAGATGGGCAAGGATCAAGTAAACAGGTGGTGGAATGGACAGAAACAAGTACCTTGTTTACGTCATCGGGCTGCAGCACTTGTATACCCCACACACACAGGTTTTTGTAATCTACAGATTCTCCTTCCACACACATTATCTTTGTCATAATGACTGGAATTTGGAAAGTGCCCATAAAGCAGAAATGAAATAGTCTGAAGGCCTTCTAGTATCCCCAGTGAACATAAAGATACCAGAACCCATGCAGGCTAGGCAACAGATGGGGTTTAACATGTTTGTCCAGCCTATTACTAAACCATAAAGAAACTACTTCACGGAAATATAGAAACAACTCCTAATCAGCCACATCTAGGTATATATGCAAGTCATCTCATGTATGTAGTTACTTACTTGAAAATAACTGGAATGTACAATGGGACGATAACATAAAAAGATACTTATGAGCTTACTTGCCAGAAGTGTATTTTTAATTTTGCTAAATAATACACCCAGGTTCTTTGGCTAATAAAACCACATAGAAGCTACCTGCAGTTATTTTATACCTTCAGATTAGAAGACCAGTTAATCTTTAGAGGACTGAAATTTACCATGCATTTAACATGATTGTACTGATGAGTTGTAACATCTGAACAGCTGTGCCTTACAGGTCATATGTACCTGCACTGCTTCCTCTTCAGAGCGTTCTTTGGTTAGGTTCTCTGCATGGGATAAGGTCTCTGGCCATTCCCATGGACCATCCTTCCCACTGGTGTTTACATTTTTTTCTGTTGAAAATAATATTGTACTTCCTAACTACTAAAGTTTCTCAGAAGTCCATTCATGCATATTCTATGCTCTGAAACTATTCTAAACCTTCAGTCTGTTGACCTCATTACCATTAGGTGCGATTAGCAGAAAGTAGCACACTTACACAATTTTGTACAAGAAGCTGGAATTCCAGCTGAGTCTAGTTTTAGAATAACTGCACCAAAGAATCAAGCTAAGCCTTCTTTTAATGCTATATTCAGGCTCCTCCTCTGTGTTACAGACCACAGTATTTCTTGGAAGGTTAATATTAAAGATTAATGCAAATACCATATTAAGGAGCATGAAGTAATTCTGAACTACAAGCATGCCTTGAATTTCATGGCAAACAATATAGACAAATATGTTTCAAGGGAAAAGTGCTTCCGAAACCAAGCAAAGCAGACACTTACTAAGATGCAGCTTCAAATAGCAAAATTCTGGAAAAGCAGCCTTATTGTTCTACCACAATTTAAAAAAACCACTCAGAGTTTTCTGGCATCTTAAAGACTGACAAATCTATTGTATCGTACAGTTGCAGTTCCAACATGATCTCATTTATTAGATCAGAAAGTTCGGAGAAGCAACAGGGGAAGTAGTTGCAGGGGCAACCAGTATCTGCATGCCTTCTATCACCACTCTTAGGTTCACTTCTTACTTCTGTTAAAAGCTTACAAAAATCACAGTTGCTCATGAAAGCAGCACCATGAAAGGGTCTGATAATTAGAAAACCTCCCATACACAGCAGGCACAACTGCTAATGCTAATTCCCACATAGCATCATAGCCATCAAACAGCTGAAAGGAAGGAAACAAAGCAAAATGCCATTTGTGACAGAGGAACACAACACCACTTAGCAATGGTACGCCAACCCTGACCTGTGATATCTGGCATATTTATACACTATCATTTCTCAAAGAATTCAACGTGGTTTACATTTTGTAACAACAGTCTAAGAGTCATAATATAAAAGGAAAAAGGAATGTGAAAAGAAAAGAAAAGAAAAGAAAAGAAGGAAAAAGCAGTGTACCCAGGTACCATTCTTTTGTAATGTAAAACAGTGCCTAAATTCAGACAGTTATAACTTAAGCTTGAGCTTTTTGCTTATGCACACAAAGCTTTCTCTCCTCCTTAGGCAGCACACCTTAATGAAATGTTGATGTTTCCAATTAAACCATAGTTCCCCATTTCACTGAAACACGAAACTAAAATTACCAGCCTTAGAAAGGTCATCATCTTAGGCCAACTTCAAACCGTAGTTTAAGATCTCAACTTCTTCCAAAGCTGACAAACATGATTTCCCACTTTGGATCAAATGGTAAGCCATGGTTATTGGGAGGAACTGCCTCAGTCCTCTCTTTGCTGCATAACTTACACCTGCCTTGCACAAATTTCTTTGAATCGCTGTACTTTGCTGGTGTTTCCACCGGCAAGGTTGTACAAGAACAGGTACTCACTATATGGATCAGATGGTTTAATTCACAACATTGTAAATACTTAATCAGTTACTATTAATATATTCCTTCTCCCCTTGTTAAAAAAGGCAACATATGAAAAATACCTGGTTATCTGAAGGAGCATCTCCTTCCCTATGTACCTGCCTGCCCCTTAAGATCTGGATTGGAGTCCTTCTTTGGCATCCCTCTTTGAAACAGATTAGGAAAGATTAGGAGAGTGGCTACCCAGAGAAGCATCTTCTCTGCAGTGGTGACCTGGCTGAGGAACATGCTCCCCAGAGAGGTGCGTCTGGCACCAACACTTTATTCTTTTTGACATCAGGCCAAAACCTTTTTATTTTCCCATTATTTTAAGACTTAATTTTTATTTTAGCCGGGCTTTTATCATAGATATTACACTGTGGCTTTGTTGTTGGACCATCCTGAGACTTAAGTACAGGACAGAGTACAAAAGTTTTAAATAAGTATATAAATAAATAAAGATGACTACTGTGTTGTGTGCTGTACTAATACAGAATTCTAAGTCTATTAGAAAAACTCCTTCTAACTGAAGCAGCTGAGAGACTAGATTCAACACTGACAAAGACTACAAACCACAACTGAAGTGCACAAATTATTTTAGCTCTTAGAATTCATTTGTTATATATCAGCACATGATGGCCTCAGGGTATTTTAACATTGTTCAGTCTTTTCCGATATAAAAGAGTTATGTTTTCGGTGTTTTACAGCCAGTTCATTTGAATGTTTCCTCAAGTCTATTTTATTTTCACACAAGCCAATGGTATTCAAGCGTTTGCATAGTACTTGACATGTACATGTTTTTGTTTGCTTCCTTTTTCCATCAAGAAAACATCAACAGAGCCTAAGTCTGAGGGAAAATGACTGTTTGTTTAGCTGTGGAAGGGGCAGTAGAGGAAACAGGGTGGGTTATCTTGGCAAATATACTGCCTCAAAAGCCAAGATGTATGATGTTTTAAAATCAAAGGTTTTTTCCCATATGATATAATAATGAAATTTTAAAAAGCTCTTCTACTAACAGCAGTTAGAGTTGAAAACTGTAAAACAATCTATTGTCTATTTTGCCAAGTAGTTGTACTTGATACTTGGAAGACATGAATGGATTATCTTGGGTGTTTATACCTCTACTTATATCAAATGTAATATAAATGTGAAATACATACAAATAAGTATTTGCAGCATGAACATCCAAGAGACTTAATTCCACATAAAAATACACAATATTTCAGCCTGGTTGTAGGTTTCTTTCCTCTTATCCCTATTTAACCAACCTGTCATGAGCTTAAGTAAGGGCTTTTCTACATAAGGCATTTATCATGTGTTCATCATTCCCTGTGAACAGTTGTTTGCAGTTGTTTAGGATGGTATCATAATCTTCCAGTTTCACTTCTCTGTCTAACCAGCCCTTTCATTAAGTTTCTCTCATTTCATTTTTTAAGCAAGAAAAATGCTGTACTTCAGTGTTAAATTAAAAGAAAGCACTTCTTTACATGTCCTTCCCCACTATTCCACAGTGTTGCCTTGTGGCTATGTAACAAAAAAGCAGAAAGGAAATTCTCTTTGAATATGCTTGGATTGCAACTCCGCAATGAAACTGAAAGTTGACACAGTAGATTAATAATAAGTGTAAGATTAAAAATGCATCAAGTTTCTATAAGACAACCCTTGTCAGAGCTGAGACATGCAAAATGCAGGTCCATCCCTTGCCCCGACTCACAGGGCAAAAGGAAGAATTAGACAGCAGAAGGCAATATTAATGGGTTATCCAGCAGTTGCAAGGATGCCATCCCATTACTCAGGGAAGTGATCAAAGAAAATGTGCTTTTTTCACCTACAATACACCTTTTATTTTGATTGAAAATAATAAAGAAGGCAGAGCTGCAGTAACACATTAATGTATTTTGTATCCCCTGAAATTAAATACCCTACTTAAAATGTACTACACTAGGGAAGTCCCTAAAGCTGGGAATGATTGAAGGCAAAAGAAGGATATGACAGAGGTTGAGGTGGCTAGATGGGGTCACTGGGGTGGTTGATGTGGGCTTGGGTGGACTCTGAGGGTTGGTGGAGGACAGGAGAACCTGGAAGAATGTTGTCCATGGGGTCATGAAGGATTGGACACGGCACAGCGACTAAACATAAAACTGTGGGTTGGATACAAGCTTCTAAACTGGACAGGTGCAGAAGCGGAGGCACAAACAACATGAGAACAATGACTGGGTGATTCTGTATTTTGTGTACACAAGATTGGGTTAAAGACTCTTAGATGATAAGACCCTTTTACTTTCATTTGTACACTAACTTTCGTTTCACTGTAAGAAGCACAGAAGATGATGGGAAGAACTACATGCACCTATTCCAAATTTTATATCACGAACAGGAGATACAGTTGTCCATTTCACATCTAATGTGCGGTCGGCACTCAGGACATCACTCAGCCTTGAAACTCACGCGGCGACTTGGGCCAGTTACTCACTCGTGGCTTAGTCCACCTCACATGGTTATTGTGATAAGGGTTATGTAAGCCCCCTTGGGTTCCTTGCAGGAAAACAGGCGGGACAAAAATGGATAAAATAAATAATCAGAACTAAACAAACGTGGAGCAGCGCCTCCAGAGAAAGGCAAAGAGGGAGCCCCACGAAAGGCGCCACTTCAGCCGAAGATATGGGACGAGTAGCTTTGGGTCACTGGCCCTTTGGACATCATTGCTTAACTGGCCATTAAAAACGTGTCTCCCTTCTGGACAGGAAAGCACGGGAATACCGCCCTGCGCTCGGCAACCGGAGAGCACCAGGCGCCGCTTCTGTGGTGCCTTCCTCATTACGAGAAGGACTTTACCTGACGGAACAGGCCTACCTGCCTCTATTCCTTGAGGAAAACCTGCCTGGTGGGCAGCTGTGACCAGCGACCCACCCTCCCGAAATGGGCAGCCCCCGCGAGATAAAAACCCCTCCGCCTCTCCCCACTTACCCCATTGTCCAGTATTTACATCCAACCCCTTCTCCGCTTCTGTACTACGAACCCGGAAACTGGCACCGCCTCCAATTCTACAGCTTGCCGCAAACACCGGTAGGACCCACCCAGTCCTAACCTCAAATGCATTCTACCAATCATGAGGCGCTACCGGTACTCTCCAACCAATGGAAAGGAATCTTAGCCGGAAAAAAAAAAGGAGGCTGGGCAGGAAAAAAAAGGTATCTGGCCAATGGGGAACAAAAAAATTCTCAAGTGACGCCTCCGCGGAGCGTATAGACAAATAAAGGTTAGACTTGTGCATACCTCCAAGATGCCGGACGGAAAACGGCTTTCTATATTAAGCTTTTGCTAAAGTAGAAAAATGCAATGAGTCTGGAACTCAAAGCAGTGCTACAGAACAATTAATTTCGGTTTGAAGGTGCGGCGGGGAAGCAGATTAAGGCAACTGCTGCAAATAAGGGTGTAATATTTATATAGCTTAAGACTTTTTTAATGAAAAAGCCAAACCAGTGAAAGTGACAAGAAGGGATGGCGTGTTTATGTTACTGCAGTAATAACGCACTATAGACGCAATCGTATGCAAGTTTAGACGGAAAATAGGGCCTACAACATAACTATCTGGGAGTTGTATGCTTCCTCCCCCCCCCTTTTTTTTTTCTTTTGCTGGTCTAATCATGCATAGGATTGCTTCTCATTAGTATTTGACAGTCAAAAGTGTTGAGCTTCAATTTTGAAAGGAAATGCTGACTGGAGATATGCAAAGTAGATTACAGAAGCAGTGCTGGGAGAACGGATTGTATCCAATATGAAGTTCTACTTACTGCAATGTATGCGGTTTAAACGGGATTAACATTAGATGCAAGCCAATTAAGCCTCCCTCTTGAGGCTGGTTTTACGGTCAAAAATACCCCACACCCCACCTGTTTTCTTACACATTGGAATCTTCCAATTGCCTCTACAAAGCGTACATGCGTACGTGATAACGGTATGAAAGGTGTGGTTTGTGTGATCAGAAAGGACCAGTAGCTCAGTGAGAAAGTAAATCCCCTCATTCCCCCAATAGCGCCCCCACCACAGTATGCTCGGCTACATTGCAGGATTGTCATATGCTGCTCTGAGTCTCAACACTGCCTCTTAAATTAGTAATTGGGCTAATAATAGGGCAGTGGTAAGCCTTCTTCTCTCAGCCAGAGCACACTTAACCTGCAAGATGAAATAATAGTAATAATGGGCTGTGTTCATTAGCCAAAATAAATAAATAAAATTCTTAAAAGGTTTTGAAACAACACCACAGTAATTAATTTTTTTACCTACTGTTAGCATGAACTCCTGTTTTTATGTCTATCTTTTGTTTGGTGGAACAGCATGCTACTGCCTAACCACAGCTAAATGAAAAGCATGATTTTTTTTTCAATTTATTCCTTCCTTTGGGCATATGCATACCCCATTGAAAGAAAATCCGTTGTCAAAAGGAACCATAAAGTATAATTTCTAATCAGTCGTATGTCTACTTACATATAAGCTTATAATGAAAAATTTATGCTATGAAGAAGGAGAAGAAAATTTACTTATACATACAGATGCATGTATGTGCTTTTATGCTTGAATAGAGGCAAGAAAAAATGAGGCATAAAGGGCACACCACCTCCTATCATGATGGGGCTGGAGCAGTGATTCAATTTTTTACTGATACCAAATAGATGTGTCAATAAATTGGATTACATGGAAGAAAATGAAATCCACCCACAGGCAGCAGTGGAGCTGGAATGCAAGCAAGGAAGTCATTTCAGCAAAGCAGTCAAAGGTATGAGAATTCTTAGAAAACTACCTGGGTTCCCCAAACCACTTCAGTGGACCTAACTTTCCAATATTACTGGAGGATCAAGGACAGTTTTCCCCAACCTGGTGCTTTCCAGTTGTTTTGGGCTAACTTGTGTCAGCCACAGCCAGAATGGCAGTGGTTAGGAATGCTGAGAACTATTCTTCAAAAATTCAGCAAATGGAGAGAATTGCACTATTCATAAAGCAGACATGGAGAACTAAGATCATCTTCAGAGGCTCTTCTGGTTCCCTCACCAAATGGAGTGAGTAACTTCTAAGAAGAGAGATTTTCCAGCTGTCTGCAGCCTTGTCCTCATTTGATGGAAAAGACAAATGAAGTTTGGTGGTATCTGCACACTGGTGACATCTCAATTGTCCAGATGACCTCTCCCAGCAGTTTCATGTAAATTTTAAACAGGCATGGGAAAAGTCTAGTACCCTACAGAACCTCAAAATATTATTGCCAAAGTAATGGTTTCCTGGAAGCACTTTCCAGAATTGCTTGTTCTTTGGAACAGAAACGCTGCCAAGTGCTGCCTTCATACACAACCCAGAAAGGCTCTCTAGATGGATATCATAGTTGATGGAATGAAAAGCCTTGGCATTCTCTTTCAACATGGTCATTCCATTGAATGATTGTTTCTTTCCCAAAGCAAGGCCTGAAACCAGCTTTAAACAATCCTAAAAACAATTTCTGTAAAGAATAGTTGCAACTGACTTGTCCTGCCACCCTCTCTCAAGCACCTTTCCTAGGAAAGGAACATTTGTCAGTGCTCTGGAATCTTCAGGGTCCACACTAACTTTATTCAGGGGTGATTAGATTATTGTTTATTTCAGAGAAGTACCTTCACCCCCTTTTCCCAAGGAGGTATTCAGAATCTCCTGTCCCAGCCAAACACCCCACTCTGCTAGATCTTTGCAAAATTTAATAAGCCATAAAGGGAAAGAGTTAAGCATACAGATGATTGACCACATCTAACCAAGCATTGATGGGATCAACAACTGCAAATCAACAAAAGAGCAGACAATGCTGTGGGTATCTTCACTGACAACTCTATAGTAAACATGTTAAGTCATGAAGAACATGAAAGGATTTACCTAGGCAGTATTTTGAAAATGCATCACATCGTGCTACTAAGGGTTCTGTCACATCTCATGGGCCCAACCTGCAAAAGGAACCACAGCACCCCTAGTGCTTGGCTGCAAGCTAACTAGATGCGTAGATGTGAAGGCGTGCGTCTGTGCGTGTAGGGAGGCAGTGCGGGCATAGTGAACAGTAGGGCACCTGCATCCAGCAGCCAGAAGCATGCTAGCATGGGGTGGGGTTGGGGGACAGTATGTGGGCAGCACAGCTCATGCACCAACAGATGAGGCTGCTAATTTATTAACACCTGACATGTGTTTGTATCTGGCACAGCCACTCCTTCCTTGCACCCAAGTTCCTACGATGCCGCAGACCTAAAGGCAGTGTGGTTCTTGTGGGAAAGTCTGGCGGTGGGGCTGGGTGGAGAGGGATGAGGGGCAGTGTCAGATGAGGCCTCTCACAGCATGCCCTGGCACAGGGGGAAGGGTGCCAGGGTGAGCTGCCTCCATGCGTGCCAGTGGGGGAAGGGGCTTTTGAGGGTGGGGGTGCCCAGCAAAGGGCAAGGCTTGCTGCAGCCATGGCAGGGGAGGGCACAGTCTGCCCAGGCTGGTTTTCTGCCTGTGTCTGCCTCTGTGTAGGGGGTTATGTTTGGTAGGGCAAGGGGAGGGTTGTATTATTGCAACTGGCTCCTTCAAAATGGCATTAGGAATAATTTCATTGAAAGGGAGGGTATAAACCTTCAAAATAAGCAAGCAGACATTTACTGTTAGCATCCAGCCATTAGGATCAGAAGTGCCAAATGTGTTCTCCTTAAACCCATTTGGCCTCAGTAAAGGCGGCTGTTGCGATAAAACACAATAGATGGTACTCAGCTCCATTACAATAATCAAGAGGTTTAAAATGGACTCTAATGGAGTTTGACTTTTAAATAATTGTAAGTAATTAACAGAGATCTCCAAAAAAAATCTTATAAAAGCTCTAGAAGTGATAATCTACTCAGCAAGTTGTAACTATATTTAATGAAGTAATAAGTCTAATTTCCTGTGAATGGAAGCTTGATGGTGACAACAACCACACACAAAGCAGTTGCCCTTTTAAAAGTCAATCCCCAAGTAAATTTCTAATGCTGCAGACCTGTAACTGCTAGATGCTGTCAGATAGCTACAGGAAAATTCGGAGCCCCAACTCCAACCTGGAAAAGTACTCTGAGTTCAGGACTCTTCTGGAAATATTGCTGGGACTCTGAATTTGGAGAGCCCTCCATCTGCCCACGCAGCTGGTGCCCACGCATCTGCCCATGCAGTTCTTTCCATTGATAGCTGCAATTCCAGTGTTAGCAATGGGAGTCAGGAGCAGGTGCCAAGGGGTGTGAGGGGAAGGCTTTGCCAGCAAACAAGGAATCCCAGTGGTGCCTCAGCTCATCCCCCTCCTCATGAACACCTCGTCAGCTAAAATTGTCTGTCTAAACGTTCTGAAAGGCAAGGGAAACATGGAGGAAATCCCTGCCTCCATGTTCCTCCCACACTCGATTGGATGGCTGCAATCCTCTGAGTTTTGAGGGCTACAGGCAGCCACTTGGATAGTGCTACTCTTCACAACAGCTATCACAATGTCTTCACACGGCTAGCCAGACAAGAATCACCATAAAGAACTATCATACATACTGAAGCAGTTTGCCAAGCCTTGTTGACTTCTGTGGGTGCCCTTGATATGAAATGTTTAGGTGATTTCATAGGTAATGTAGGTAGAACATTTAAACCTCACATGTGTGAGCCAGATCAAACATTATAGGTAGTCCTTACATATGTGCAAAGACAGAGTTGTGCAGAGGAATGTTTTGACATTGCTCTTCCAACCTTTTCTTTCCTTCTGGAGATGTGCTCACCTATGCATTAAGAAGAGGAAACACTAGCGTTTATAAATGCAAAGAATTAGGAAGCAGTTTAGCCACACTGTGTTACTGTCTTTGCCATTAACAGTGTTTCTCTATTAGACTGTGAGTTCTGTAAAAGATAACTATCTTGGCATTGCTTTGGTCTCCTGCATCTCATTGTGAACAATGAGATAAGTGAAGAATTCTTGATTCTTTGCTTTGACATCCCAGTAAAGAGCTCCATGGGTTGTATTAAGAATCTGAAAGATTTAAGAGTCTATGAGCTTATATTTTAAGATAACAAAGCCTGAGGCCTT